GGGNGGGGAGGGGGGGTGTTGGACATGTGTTTTTCGAATCTATCCGAGAATCTATGGATTTTTACATCTAAGGTCAGTTCGAGGGTTGTAATTAATGCTAATATTTACATTATGCATCAGCTTAAAAAGTGGTCAGTAGTAAACATTAAAATCTCTTTTATCTAGGTATATGTTCCGTGCCTATTGTATTGGTCTGGTACCTGCGAGATAGGTAATAACAAGCCAAAAAAAAGGTGATGAAGAAATGAAATGAGGGAAATAATGGTTCTTCTTATCGTATTAATCTTTCTGAGGGAATAAAGATTCGGAAAGTAGGTAGCGAGTATAAGGTCTGTCCGAGGTTTTGTTTCGAAACTGTATCTGGCTGAGGTCGTGATCGTGATCCTGAATGTCCCAGGACGGATCCTACCTCGGAACGGACCGGAGGCAGCGTTCTAAACCCACTGTTTTAAAATGACGAGACGACGATATTCTCAAAACTCGAGGACTTGACATGTGCTCAGGTATGCATCGAATCGAATCATCCCATCCGGACCTTTTTCATGTGAAGAAATACATGGGTCGGTGCAGGTACCCATACGTGGACCACAATATCAGAGTTTCATGCCCGAGGCGGCGTTGGAGATCTGATATGCCGCGTTGAGAGACCCGCAAAATAATGGAAGTGTTCTAGAAAAGTCTGGATGAGTAGTGCCGGGGGTGGTGTATGCTTGTGTTTTCGTTTTCGTGACGCTTGGTAGATGCGAAGATTATCCATTCTAGTCGTTGAATATCTGGAATATACTTTGAATTGAAGTGGGATATGAACTTGATATCTCTATATCTTCAGCTCTTGAATGCGTATCTTTAAGCCTCACGTCGTGTGCTGTACCTGACTTATAAATCATCTTACCAGAATATTGAGTTCCAAAAAGCAAAATCCAATGAAAGATTATCATGAAATGCCAACCTATCATTCCTCCTACGTGCCAATATTCATCCTGCAAGGATCATATAAATACACGGCGCCTCACCGCAGCCCAGATCGTGGCGTTAGATTGGATGGGTTTCTTCATCCCGGTACTTTTCCTTATCTGAAGAATTGTTTTCGATAAGGATTTCTTGGGAGGGATGACGCAAGATTGATGGTGCCGATTGCGGATGTGAATAGACGGTACTGTAGATTGTATTGATTGTGATGAAATAGGGGGGGAGAGATGGGCCATGAGTGTGAGAAAATGTTTGTGGATGAGGAAATAGATACGTGGATATTGCAGGTATTTGAGAAGGCTATGATGACAGTCAGCGTGCGAAAGGTACGCAAACGAGTACCGACGCTTACAGGTGGACAAATACGAACACTGCCACAAGCACAATATACAATTATGATAAACGAGCTGCAATTCAATATCTAACCACGCATTTCGTGCATTATTTCTTCCCAAAAGAATCTGTTGGGCTCCCCTTGGCCTCTTCTCAGCTGTCAATGTCTCCCACGTCGCATCGCATCAGCCTCTACGCACCACAACAGCAATCTTCACATGGACATGGTGGCTCCTGCAGGGGATCACCAAGATCCACCGAACCCGATTCAATGGACATGAAGTCGCAAATCCACCGACACGACATCCGAGGCAGAGCGGGAAGCAGGTCAGCAATACTCCCACGTTGCTTTTCATGGGCAAAGATGACTGTACACGCGGCTTTCCCGGTGTCAAACACCGATGGGGAGGTTTGTTTATGAACAGCTGAATCCCATGGATTATCCAGAGTTTGTCTTTCGTGTTGGATTATTGATACTTCCATAATCCATGACCGAAGCGGCGAAAATTCAACTTACAGTATCCATATCCATCCATATCCATACCCCCACTACTCTTCTCCCGCCAATCCACCAGGCTGATTCGACGCGATTGTCTCCCGCGACTTAAGCTCTTCTTGGGCACATAAAAGTGGGATTCCGGTATCATTCTCGGTCGCTGGCGGTGACTGCCCTACGAGTCTGCCACTACAGTCGCAGCAACTTCCGAAACCTGTGCGGTCATGAGTGGAAGGGGTCGCGGTGGTCCTGTCAGAACGAAATCTTGAATCGATCGGCTTTTGCTTGACTCGTACCTACTTGACCATTTCACCACGCTTGTCAACGAAGATTATTTGCCTTGCGTCTGGATTATTCTCTTCATCTTCAAAACATCAATACAGGACAGTCTTGCATGCAGTAAATTTGCAACATGGTGGGGTTTAATCCTTTTGCAAGTGTGACTGGGAAATCAAGTGCAACCCTTTTCGAGATCCGGTATGATTCATCTTTCCAAACCAAAGAATCTTTCTAACCGCCGCAGACTTGACAGCGATATTATTGTCCTTCGTGGCGACGAAAATGACGCTTCCAGTCAACTACTCAAAGGCACCATCGTCCTCTGCCTTCCACAATCCCTCAAAGTCGAGGATGTACATCTGCGAATGACGGGACAACTCAAAGCAGGGTACGCCAGTTCTTTTTGGACGCCGCTGCTTGCCTTTACTAATTGTCTTCCCTTCAGGTGGACAGTCCAGCAGAGCATGACACCAGGGGTTTCAACGATTAAAACAGAAAAGACGACGGAGATATTCAGTCACAAGTGGGCGCCATTTGTGGGTGGGCATGGTCCTGGATCTTCATCCAAAGGAACATTGCTCCCAGCGGGCAACTACGAATGGCCGTTTGAATTGATGATACCAGGTTCGATGGCGGAGAGTGTGGAGGGCATGCGCGACTCACATATCGTGTACAAATTAAAGGCGACGGTTGCACGGGGGAAGTTGGCATATGATTTACACGCTTGGAAACCCGTACGAATCGTTCGAACCCTCGATCCATCGGCTTTGGAATTGGTGCACGCGATGACGGTCGAAAATGTCTGGCCGAACAAGATTGAATACCAACTTATCATTCCGCAAAAGGCGATTATCTTTGGAACGGCAATCGATATAGAAATGCGATTTACCTCGCTTTTGAAAGAGCTGAAGATAGGTAATATTAAATGCGAGCTGATCGAGACGCAAGAAGTTACGATTCCTGGAGCGACACCGCAGTTGGAAAAGTATCACAAGACGACGAGGAGTGTGGATACGTGGAATTTTAGTGTCAATGATGAAGAGCACTATCGTGATATTCTGGATGAAAATGGAGCGGATGGGTGGGTGCTGAAGGAGAAGATGCCTCTACCGAAACGATTACGTTCGTGTGTGCAGGATGTGGATGTTCATGGTCTCAAGATTCGGCACAAGGTTAAGTTTAATATTGCACTGCTCAATCCGGATGGTCATACGTCAGAGGTACGATGATTCGATTTCTGAAGTGGACAATGCTAATTATATCAGCTTCGAGCAACCCTACCAGTCACCATTTTTATTTCACCTAATATGCCACTTACTTCAGATGGCGAGTTAGTGGATCAAACTCCTACGAGCTCTCAAATAACAAATGCGTCTCAACATGCTCCTCCACTCTACGGAGAACATGTCCTCGATCAATTATACGCCGATGTAGATCAATCTGGATTTATGACTCCTGCTCCACAGTCAGGAATGAATACACCATTCTTTGCTCAATCGAGAGCTGGTTCGACGGAGAATTTAGCATCCTTACTTACGGATACCCATGCTCATCCAGCTGGCGCCGTACCACCTGCTGCATTGTCTTCGAGACTTCAAAATTTGAATGCACATTCGCGGAATAACAGCTATCTACGACGAGGAGCAGGATCTTATTCTGGAGCCAACACACCACATTCTCACCCAAATTCTCTCCCTCATCACGAAATCGATGGATACTTTCCTAATGGCCATTCTGGAAATGCATCAGGTCACGCTAGTACACCCCTAAGTCGCCGCGTAAGTAATGAAGAAGACGAACACCACAGCAATCGAGCCTCAAACTTCACATCTGGAGCACACACCCCCGAACACCTCGACTACAACGACCTCGGCGACCTCTCAAAAGTCCCCTCCTACTCCACGGCCGTCAAAACCCCCGCCCGAGGCATGAGCTACAACGAAAACCTCCCCAACTATCTCGCAGCTGTCTCGGCGCCTCCAAGTCCGGAACACAGATACAGCACGCTCGCCACGCCGACGAATGAACGTCCACCGGAGATTCATGGCAGTAATAGTAATTCCCGAAATCCGATGTCGACGTTGGGGTTTACGCCGATTAGTCCGCCGCCGATGGCTTTTACTAATGATTCGGAGGAGAGGAGGAGGGTGCTTGTTATGCAGGGGAGGGATAGGCATTAAACTTGGGAGGGTTGTTAGAGGGAGGGAGCGTGTTTTGATACCCTGGGGGAGAATTTCGTGTGTTTTGTTTTGGGGAGGGGAATGTTTGAGAGATGAGGTTTTCTTCGAGGGTTGGAGTGAGAGACTTCTTTGCACAAGGGATTTCTTTTTTATATTGTATTCCAGGCGGTCTTATCTGGGGTTTGATGCATGGATTTGGAGTTCAAGGGTTGAGGGTTAGCATAGATGGGCGATGTCGCGGGACTGGAGTGTATTTGGGTTAGATGGAAAGCGGGGATTTTTCAAAGGAGTAGTTTAGAGAGTTGGATAGGAAGAGGTACAAGCTCTCTTTGCTAGGCCTGAAGGTTGAAGCGGACTAAAAAAGTTTTATTAAACTTGGAAGGTTTTAATTTATATTTGTTGCCACTCTATTTAATACACATCTGAGTCGATGTTGTTGTCATTCAAAAATCTCTTTCCTAAATTTGCCATTTGCAGCTGCGAAGGATATAGTCCGATATAAGTCTTCGAAACCGGGCTTATAAGGAGAATATATTAATAGAGGTAGATAGGGTAGATAAATAAAAGTTTAACGTGAAATAGAGGATTGAGGAGTTATGGAAAGTAAGATGTACCTTGAGATACTAAGTATTGATAAAGTAGATGGAAGGTTGGAAATTTGGGTATAGCTCTTTTTAGGTATCTAGGCAGGCTTTAGTATAAGGTATATACCTAGGTATGTTAAGACGAGAGAATATTTTCTAATAGGAGATATCTGTAATTAAGTCTTTTAGTTTATATCGTTATTGTTTTGGAAATAATATAGATGTTAGATATATAGTATTATATCTATATAAGTCGATATTTAGTATCTAGAGCGGAATTCTACCACATCATCACGCACAGACCACCCATCTCAACCTCACCTCCAAAAAAAAGTACACCACCACCACCTCCATCTTCTCTACTTCCAACCACCCAAAATGAAACGACTCATCCAATCCTCCGCGCTACCAAGCAGAAACTTCGTCTGTCACCATGTCCCTCTCCGCACCCTCCACACCTCCCCCCCAAACCCTGCAACCATCGCCTCCATCACCGCCTCCGGCCCACCACCTAAACCCCCCGCCCCGTCCGCAGACCATGTCGATGCGCGTGTGGCTCGCAGACGCAAACAAGCTGAGCTGCTGAAACGGGGAAGGGATATGCGGGCGGTCGAGGGGGGGAAGGGGGGGGGGACGGCGAAGACGAAGAGGTTCTGGAAGGATGTACATGTGAAAGAAGTCGAGGGTACGTTGAATTCCATGGGAGGGGGTGGGAAAGGGGAAGGGAAGGGAAGGGGGGATATGTGGAAGGGTGATACTAATGTGTGTATAGGCGGTCTACAAATCCATCTCGACACCCGTCCGCTTCGACGGCCGAATAAAGAAATCCTCACAATCCCAAAATCAAAACCACATCTCGCAACCGCCATCGCACTAGAATGGGACCTCCTCGTCTCAGCCCAACAAGCGCTCCGCCACCACCTCATCCCAATGACCTCCCTCGTCTCCCGCGCGCTCGACATCATCGACGACGACGCCTCCCCCAACCCAAGCATTCGAGATTCCATCATCACGTCCCTCCTCCGGTATCTAGACACAGATTCCCTGTTGTGCTGGGCGCCGGAACCAAAAGCCGATCCGCCAGGCTATGAAACGCATAAAGAAAGAGTGCGCAGTCTAAGGAGTATCCAGATGGAAGCCGCACAGCCTGTGATTCAGTACCTGACGGAACGGGTGTGGCCCGGTGTTAAGATCGTGCCGGCGCTGGGCGAGAGTATTTTTCCTAGGCCGCAGGAGGAGGGGACGAGGGCTGTTATTGCGGGGTGGATGGCCGGGCTGCCGGCGTGGGAGTTGGCGGGGTTGGAGAGGGGGGTGTTGGCGGGTAAGGGGGTGCTTGGGGCGAGCAGGTTGGTGGTGGAGTGGAGTGAGACGCTGAATTTGGGGACGCGGGAAGGGGGTGGGGGAAATGGGGTAAATGGGGAAGGGGAGGGGAATGGGAAGGGAAAGAGATGGGGTGTTGAAGAGGCGGCGAAAGCGGCGAGTTTGGAGGTTGATTGGCAGACGGGGATGTGGGGTGAGGTGGAGGATACGCATGATGTTGAGAAGGAGGATGTGAGGAGGCAGTTTGGGAGTGTGGTTTTGCTTGTTTCGGGCGTGAAGGCGTGATGTTTCCAGGTGGCGGGTGTGTAAGATCGGAGTGTACGATTTGTGAAATTAGATGGGATTCTTCGATCGCATGAGAAGTGTGTAATATACGTGTTTAAAGACCAACTGTTTACTTACTCCCGGACTCCTGTCTACAACGATAAACCGAGGCAGATGCAATTCGTGATGGGCGCAAATAAGCGAATGTTGAGAACATCAAAATTCCCTACAATCAAAACGACAATATCTTACCAAAATAAGTATCAAATCGCGTAAATCTTTTAGTAATAATAGATTATATACTAGGCTTTCTTCTAATTAAGTTTTTATTAAAATTCATTATGTGGTTGTTATAGAATACTCACTGAAAGTCGAGGTGTTCTATGTTTAACGCTCGAGCGCGTGTTACGAATCGCATTAGTCTCGAACTACTCAGCACGTACGTAGCTTATAAGTGGCCCTTTTCTTGACTTAATTCGGGACAAAAACTCAATTCGATAAGACGAACTACTCATCTTCGCTACTTCACAAGCTAAAAGGGGGAGATTATTAGGATATCTAAAAAATATATATATATATATATATATATATATAACGTGATAGCGTAATTATATACCGGATTCTGTCAGTAGGCGTAAGTTGTACTGGCTATTCCATGTAGAAACATAGTGTCAACATATCGAGATGGAGTATTTTACTAGCCCAGGGGTTTTTGTTTATGGGGGTCGGGACTTTACTGAATTTTTGTCTGATGTCTGTGAAGGTGGAGATTGTGTCGGATGGGGGTGTGTGGTGACGGGATTTGAAGGTGTTGTTTCTTGGAGAGAGGTGATGGGGAAGGGGGGTGGTTGGTGCAATGGTTATTGGGCATACTGGGGGGGTGATGACTTCTTTCGTGGGGGTTGAGGGGTTTTGGATGTGGGGGAAGGTTCTGTGGACAAGCATTAGAGCTGGCGAAGATGAAGGATATTGTCTATTTCCCTACTTCTCCCTACTTCTCCTGCTCCCTAGCAGAGATCCTGCGGATTCATTAGTAGCATCTCCATCTCGGCCCCACGTTTGCTTTCTGACGAGTTCTATCTATCTTGCTTCTCCCCTACTTTACGGGTTTCTTGCGCTGGGAACGAGGAACACATTGTCGTTCGGTGTAGCTCTTGTACGTGATCTTAGGTGGTGATTGTTCACGTGCGGAATGTCCGACGGTGATTTGTGGGGTGCGGTGGTGTATACTGCTATTAATGACTTTAAGTATCTGATTACGAATAGAGGTCGTGGTTTTGGATAAGATCGCGGTTTATAGATAAATCTACTTTCGACGCTATTTGTAGGCAGAGGTAAAGCGTTAATTGCTTGTAAGAGATGTTAGATTATTCGGAAAGACGGGCATAGAAGAGTTGTTAAGTGTTGTCTCTGACGAGTATACTGTTGTTGAATTTTGTAACGGGTCTATCGATATTCTCACCCACCGATTTCTTTCCAGCCAGGCCGTGTTAGCGTTCAGAAGTGTGTTCGTGTATATCACTACCTTGTCATTTTCTCTGACTGAAAACCTTGCTCCAGCCCTTCTTGCAGACCGGGTGAAAATAAGATAGGTGATCTTTTTCGTAAATCTCGAAAGAATCTTTCGGATAGCTACTAGTCTCATTAATGCTATTAATTTCTAAGCCATCAATGGTTTGCTCGGGAAACGCTCTTTAGCATGGGTTCTGAATACTGGGTTTGGATCTTGCCTCCCTCACCGTACTTCTGATAGACGTTGGCGCTTACTAACTCTTTCACTACTTGCTGAGATGGCATACAAACCTGATAATTCCTTTTGGGTTAGTTTAGTATAAGGTTTACTTCCATCTTGTAATTGCAAGTCAGCGTCTCCAACTGTCGATAGCACTTATGAGGTATTCCACGGTTGCATGTGCTTCGAGCTTGGCTGGTAAAGTAGGATTGGATCGCTGTGATGTAATTCTTAATTAGAAACGGAGATTTGGCAATCTTGACGAAGTTGACGGTAGGGTACATGAGTTGTCAGTACAACGCATAAATAATGTAGATATAGTATATACAGGTGCCTTATCACTAAGCATTGCAAATCGTGGCTGACCATCGTATATAACCGACATATGTAACAACATCCCACTGAGTGAGCCAAAATCAGGGCATTTAGTCGTCTCTAGAATTCAAAGGAGACTGCAGCAGACAGGTTGGTAGTTCAACTAGCATATACTAATAAAATCTAGAAAACGATTTAGGTGACAAACGTGGTAGGTAGAATGCCTAAACTGATAATCACTGGACAAGGCTCTTCTAGGATAGTAAGGTTATATATTTTTGGGTAAACTCGAATTACTTTACTTATCTGTAGGTATAAGTAATGAGACCTATAAGACAGACTCGTTTCTAAGAACAAGCTTCTTGACTTACCGCGCGAAATGTAAGTTTTAAATTTGTGTAACCCACAAGGTTTGATTCTAGGACTAGCACAAGTGCTCGGAACTAGTGGGATTTGGAAGAATTAGACTTTTCGGTATAGTCCGCTGCAGTGCCATTGTCTTGTCGGGTTTAGTCGCAACGGTGTTTGGATGGAAGACTAATAATTCTATCAAGCTATATATCTAGTAGTATACCCCGACCTAAGAACTACGGTCCTTGGCCACTCTACTCTTAGGGAAATATGTAAATAGATAGGACTTATATTATATATATTTTAGCCACATTGTAAGCGCTAGTTCTTGAAAAAGCCCTACTTGTGAGTCGTTTTAAGAGGAATTAATATTTAATAACGTAGACTCGTAAAGCCAAAATCGGTCTATTTTCGGTTTAAGCGAGATATGGCGACTCTACAATAGAGACCCAAATTCGATAAATGTTTTCGAGCTCGGGAAGATGAAGAGTCCGATCCTAGTTATTTCTATATCCCAAGAGTTCGTATAAACTAATAGTCTACCCAAACCCCGCCCTACTATCTCGAGAGTGAAAACTACCTTGGCCGGATGGATTTAGGTAGGTGATTAGTCCAGCATTTATTTCCATACCGGTCTTTACTTTATGGAGGTATGTAATCAAATTCTTATCTTTATTGTGACCTCTTTCCATCTATGCTGTTTGTTTGAAAAAGGTACTGTCAAAGCCAGATCTGGCTATACCTAGCAGTAGTTTCAGGGGTTAGGGGTAGCCAAGCAAGCTACTTCCCCCCTTACGAATCTAACCTCCGGCCCTTCTTTTTGGGGGTAAGAGTTCTTTCTCAAATATCCTCCCACATAGCCTTTGTGGTTCTGTGACAGGTAATCGAGTAGTAGCGATAAAAGACTCCTAAAGATTTGTAATTTATGTCAATTGTGTGGGAATCTTAGAGAGATGTTCTTTAATGATCTGCAGGTAGATCTTAATCTGAAAATGTAAGGTAAAACGGCGGCACAGTATTTCCATTCGCTCAATAGTACGTTGCTGTTATACTGGCAGTGGTACAAAAACTTACCATATACCGTTTCTTTTTGTTGGTTTATTGGATTACGCGGTAAATTCCCGCGTAGGTTTGGAAAGCGAGACGCTACTATGTTTGAATTTGCTGCTTAGCACCAACTAAAGCAGGACATCTTGCAACGTGTAAAACAATCTTCGGCATCGTTGTTGGATTTCCTTCTCTCTAACCAATGTATGCACAGTTCCGAAATTATTCTTCGAAGATAAAACGAAACTGGATTTGCAGATTTGTAACAGCGGTCTGATGATTTGAAGTGAAACATGCCAAGTGCTGGTGATTTCCAGAGCCACATTGTAAATAACCTCAGGGTTACGCCGATTTCAGAATGAAATCAGCACACCGTTCTGCGACCATCACCGCAGGAGCCTGCAAATGAGTGGCCACAATCTGTGGAAGGACACTTGTATCCGCAATCCTAACATTCAGCGTCCCATATACTCTCAGCGTCTCGCTTACCACACCAGGCGCCCTTGCGTCGTCCTCGGCGGCCATTCTACAGCTACAAGCGTAGTGATATGTGGTTCTGATCCTTCCACGAATCAGCTTGTCCATCTCCTCCGTATTCCCGTTCTTTCTGTCGAGGTCTTGCTTCTCCTCTGGGTACGTCAGGTTCCGCAGCAATGGAAAACCGGCAGCTGTCATCCTTCCTCCGATTGCGAGTGACAAGCGGATGGCTGTTCGTGCAATTATATAGTCTTTTGGGTCCGAGAGAAGTCCGAAGTCGACTTTAGGATGGTCGTGATGGTTTGAACTGGCAAGCCGTACTGTGCCTCGAGATTTGGGCTGCAGTAGAGTAGCCAGGATGGAGAAGACTCCAATCTTGGAGAATAACTTATAATGCTCTTCTAGATTGTCCATGGCGCTGGTAGCGAGTGGCATTAACTCAATATCAGGAATCTGAGTTTGCGGCTCAGACAATTTATCGACGTCGTGCGATATATCGTCTCGAAGCTCCGTTCCATTCTTCGTGAGGGAAGTGGAGCGGACAAAGAGAGAGATGGGCTGGATTGGAAATGCTAGTAATCCAGTGCCCCATAAGATGTACTTTAAAAACTCTTTACCGCCTTCAAGGATAGGTGATACGACTAATTTGGTAAGTGACTCCTTGATTGGGATTTCCCAGGCTATCGGTATAGCAGGGTGATCAGTCTATCAGTTTTTAGTCAGTAAAAAATTATGTGCAAAAGAAGGGTCTTTTGTTACCAATTCGGATCCGACCCCAGGCAAATCTTTCATGACTTCAATACCAAGTTCTTCTAGATGCTCAGCGGGCCCAATTCCACTATCAATCGAAAGTCAGATTTGTTTCAGAATAACGTGAGAATTTTAGCATCAAAGTAAAAGTATTACCTTAACATCAAAACTTGTGGAGTACCAATGGCACCTGCACAAATAATCACTTCTTTCTTAACCTTAGCCACGAAAACCTTTCCTGATTTACGATCTGTAGTAGTAAAGACTACCGACTTGGCACGAAGTTCTCCATCTTCTTTCGACCATTTAATTTTGGAAACAATAGCTTTTGTGCATATAGTTAGGTTATTCTCTCGCGCCAACGCGATTGAACGGGGAATAAATGCATCGAATGTAGAGACTCGCTCGCTATTTTCGTTCATTGTCACGTCGAAAGTTGCGAGACCTTCTGGTGAGGCTTCAGGGTCAGTGGCATCTGGGATGAGAGGAAATCCTAGTGTGACGGCCACGTCTGCGAATCTGAAAAGGGTTAGAAACTAGATGAGTTTGCAAGAATAAAGTAGGGAGGGTTTAACACGTACACCTGATAAACATTGTAGAGCCAAGTGAAATAAGTGAAAGTCCGCGTGATCCAAGGCCCTGACCACAACCGTTAATTTTGTATTTTGATCACCCCTTTCCTCATTCCGATGAATTCTCAACATACCCGTCGTTCCCCTAAAATGCGTCTTCGGCTGATTCAAATTTCTCTCCCCCTTCACAAAGAACGGAAGCACTTTCTCATAACTCCACTCAGGAAGACCCATAGCAGCCCACGCATCATAATCAGCCTTTGATCCTCTCGAATACACCATACTATTAATCCTCGACGCACCACCCAAGACTTCCCCACGGAAGAAAAGAGACTGCCGATTATCGCAATGTTTCATGGGGTCACATAGCCAACTTGAAGCTCCTCCGTCTGAACGGAGAATGTTGGATGAAGCGATGGGGATACGAGAAGCCCAGGTGTCTAGGGCGGGGCCGCGTTCTAGGAGGAGGACGGTCGTGGTTGGTGAGGCGGAGAGGAGAGAGGTTAGGACTGCACCTGCTGTTCCTCCTGGATGTCACGGGTCAATTTAGTTGAGATAGGGAGTGGAGGGATATAGCTAACCTCCAATTATGATGTAGTCGTACTCTCTCCCATGCACATCTTCGTGAGGTATCTCTGGATAAGCGCGCTGAAAAAGATTAAATGGCCACATCGTAAACTCCAGCGAGTGGTGGTTCAATAGTAAGTAGATTCTGGAATCAACTACGCCTAGAAATAAGCAATGTGAGAAATATTGATTATGAAAGAGAAGGATCCGAATATTGAGAAACCGCCCAGGACAAAAATGACGGTGTAGTTTCCAAGTTTCAACTCAAAAAGACCATCGAACGACTTTTTAAGTTCTAGCTCTAATTGGATCCCAACCACGCATGTGGATGCCTTTTAAACCATAAAGTCGGATGCGAGTTATTTGTACCGCTGCCAACCACTCGGAACGGCGGCGTAGTAATGTTGGTTGGCATGTTGTTGGTTACCCAGGTGCCTATCATCTTGTTGGTTCTCAGATTCATTTATCCGAGAGCCCACGTTCCAACTCAGCGCACACAACAGCGCTGCGAGGTATGGCGCAGGTAAATGCGGGCGATCTGGTGTTGGAATAAACGTTTTGTTGGATGGAACAGTGCATTTTTGCAGGAAAGGGCTGGGTTTTCTGGGGCTCGGCAATCGCGTTTTATTTTCTCAAGATCATTAACCATAGGATCACTGGAGCTCTGACCTTCATCGAATAAGGCAAAAATAGAAGGAATTGACGATACAGTTTTCTTGGTATAGTTAACGAGTATTCTCATACACTGGATAATAGTTGGGTAGGTACGACGATGTCTTCTTCGTGTTGATCACGCTAAAAGCAGAGAATATATTCTCGCGATTTGCATCTACTGTTGGTGAAACATCCGTCGGGAAGCGTGCAAATATCTATTCGGTTAAAGGCCTAGTAGGTGATATCTTTCAAGAAGAAATTGCAGGAGAGCATATGCAAAATAAACCAGCAGACAATATTGAGGGGGTGACAAAGACGTTTGTGGAGCAAGAACTTGGATCACAGAAACAGGCAGGTAGAGGTGGATAGTTATTAGTAACAGGTAAGTTAGTCATCTGTAATTTTGAAGTCCTAACAAATAGCAGTTTCTGGTAACAATAATACACGAGACGAGTTACGAAGTGTTATTGTAGATTATCTAACGGATAAAGTAAGTTTCTTCGAACTCGATTACTAACCTTCGCGAGGTAGAAAGTATAGTTAGATACTTTATAGCGTAGGTCTACTTTTCGCAAACAAAATTATCCCCACTTAAGATATAATATAGTCCTAAGGTAATCCCATAGTTGCAGTTGTTAAAGGATGCTAAGGCAGAAGGGGAGGCAAAGTATTCTGTATATTTAGATCTAAAATGCACGCGCAGCAGTAAATAGCTTATCGAGGTAAATTTCATTCTACCTCTTATAATTGCAAAGGCTTGAAAAAAGTCACTCTATGTATTTAGTAGAAATAGTGTGAAATGCACGTCTTGTATAATAGTTGTACGGACATAATATTGGCTCTAGCTCTCTCTATACTATAAACAACAGATCCGATCCTGAAAGAGGCGGAGGTTAGTCGATGCTATTAAGTTTTAGCGGGGTCGACTACTACTATAGGGACCTAAGCTTTAATTTAAATAAGTTAGTCGAGTTATTAATCTGTAAACTAACTTATAAAGCTTAGTATAGCTTCCTTTTTGTCTAAGCGAAACGTTCGTTATTACTCTCTACGGAGGTAGTTTCTGACTTAGTCGTACCCTCTAATTTTAGACACGTTGTCTTTTTAGCCTTAAGGCTACGCTAGTAACTAGTCCGTGCTGTGTAAAGAATAAAGTAGTTTAAAGAATTTAAATATCTACACTAATATAATTATTATCCGAGTTTATACTATTAGTCACTTGTCTAATTTGTAATGTTAGAGAATAAGTTCTTGTCCGATCACGCCCCCTGTCTAGTAACGTACCAGATGTTAATTCCTTTTAGAACTATTTTTAGCCGCTATAGCTCGACAAATTGCCTTGTGCTCTTTAAAATGGGCGACCTGGCAAGCCCGCCCACAGTACATTACCTCGTTGCACCTTCCGCACCGCATTAACTGCACAGAAACCTTTTTGCACGCCGCGCATTGGGCCCTCTTAATTCCACTTCCTGTCTCTACCGCCGCCAACAGATCCTCCGCTTTCTTTCTTGCCAATCTCAACACCCGCTGTTCACCCAAACTGACATGCGCCGCTGACCATGCGTTCCCTCCAGGAGAATAAAACCCCTCCGCCAGTTGCTCTCCTAGTTTTTCTAGTTGAGTTCCGAAACCATCGAGAAGACTAGAGATCGATTCTACCAGAAACCGCAAGACTTCCACTTCGTTTGAGTCGCTGATTCTCTCAGATGCAGCATCGCTTTGATGAGACATCATTACAGCAAGATCGGATTCGTTCAGCCGTTGAATACGGAGGTATCGAAGAACGCTACTTGGTAGCGGATCGGTGAGAGTAAGAGAGACGGTAGAGGTTGAATCGAGCCCAGCAGATACCCAGAGTTTGTGTTTTTGCTCAAAAAATGGCGCCATGGGATGCGTTGCAAGAACGAGATCATAGCTGTCGTTGGGATTACCGGGCACGACAAAGCCGTAGAGACGTAAAAGGCGATTGTTTGGAACAGGTCCGTAATTAATGAAAACCTGGAACAGTTCTAGGTCAGCGCACTGACTAGCAGCGTCAGAAAATAAGACGGACGTACTTGATCTCCAGCTTTGTAGTTTTTCCCGGCAAGAACAGAGAGGTCTCCAGACTTGACATCGTAAATATGACACTGCTCAACCTCGGATGAGTGGTTCAACATGTCTGCGAAGGCCGCCAAAAGTCGGATCGAATCTCCATCGCCTAGCTTGAAATCCATTGCACGACTCCACACGGTGCAGAGTGCCCACTTGTACTGAAAGATGTGTCAGTAGCCGATTAGCGATATCTTCTCTATGTTATGCACCTACATCTTCAATGGTGAACTTGTCGCGTGGGAAAAGTTCTTGATGTCGTCCAAATAGTCGCTCAACCAATTCCTTATAATCGACCTCGATCTGTTGATCCAACTGCTTCGTGATAGTGTAAAGTGAACTTCCTGCGGAAACTTCCAACTCGTCCTCCGCAAAGAAGATACTCGAAGTATAGCTCGCAGGCAGCGCTGCTACATGACTTCCCAGGCCATAATCTCCCGACCAGTGTGATCTGACAAAGAGAATATACGTAGCCAGGGTGTCATCAACAGACAAGAGCGGCTGTGCTGAGAGAAGGGCTGGCCCAATGATGGGATCAGCATAAGCATGTTTCACTGTCCAAAGAACACCATTTGGAATGGTCAAGATCTTTTCTCCTTTCTCGAATTGCCGCCGCGTTCTGACACCGCGCCCGGTATCTGAGAAGTCGGCAAGCTCCAAGTCATCCAAGCCTGACACTCCAGACCTTTTCAGCCAGCTCTCCATTGGATCGAATGAAAGTGAGAGGAAGCCTGCCCGCAAAAAGAAACTCTCGAAACACACACGAAATCGATTGGACAAAGTGTATCGGGTACAAATTGAATATTGAGTGCAAAGGTGACAGCGGCGATAGGAAATTGCTGTCTTGTAGTGGGTTTGACAAGAAGGGATTGCTCAGCGAGTGAACCGATATTTTATAGATCCTCACGCATCACGTGGTAGACATGAGGAAGTGTTACACCAGCAGTAGTCACGGGACAGTTCACTGGTTGCACCATGTTGGTTAGAGATATCCTTGCTGTCGTGACTATCCTCATCAACGTGGGGACGAATCACTACAATCGAATTGACTCTGTCAAGCATGACGACCTTTTGATGCTCACTTTCCCTTTTCACGTTTGTCGAAGGTGTTCAAGGGGTCAGAGAACGACATCATAATGACCTATTCGTCAAAGTTTATGAGATTGCTAGGTATCTTGAACAGTATTCAAAAGTCATACAACAAGTGTGCAAAGGTCCTAGGCGTCGAATCTGCTGGAACGACATCTGCGACTCAGGAGACAGCGATAAATGGCAAAAGTTTTACCAAGCGGGTGGTAGTTTTTGTCCGGATCCCTAGCATTCTCGCTGAGATTCAGTATAAGGCTGAACTACTTTAAAGATATCTAGTATACTGTCTGTTTCATTTCTCTCCGACGTCCGGAAGCATCAGAGAAAGTTAAGTGGCAAGAAATCTCTTAACCCCCCTATTGCGAAAGCACTACTTTACACGATACTTTGCTGGACCTCGACCTTAGCACAGGATTCTCTAGCATCGACCGGATGATGGAAAACCTCATGAATGAATGCAAACACCTTGAGCGCCAGCTCCTGGAGAGTACTCTGTTTCCCGACATGTCGGCCGCTCAAGATTATCAAGCGCAGAACCCTAAGGAGCATCATTTTGAGAGGATTGATTCTAGAAATGCAAACTTACTAGGATTTTTTAGACCGAAAACATAGACCGCGTTCGCCTACAAGGGTCTCGTTACTCTATCGATCAAAGTGGCACACGTCGTCTTTCCAACATCCGGCCTCTCTAGCTCCCGGCTCTTCGATCCGCTCTCGATCCGACATATCTAAACATATATCTGCACAAGGGCAACGTCAAACCTGAAGACTATCTCAATCTGACACACAACTGTTCCTTGTTCGACACACTGAGAAGGCTGGTCCTCGAAAGCGCAGGCCATGGCACGCTTGTCAAATTTAAAAGAGCATCCGTCTCCTTCTGGCCATATTAAGTGGATATCTGCTCAAATCGTAGCCGTTACAATACCCGATAAACTTGGAATCGTCACCGTACAGTACTAGACTTTAATATTGAGCTTCTTTACGAAACTCTGCTAAAAACAGCCGTATTTTACACTTTATAAAACTATATATCTTTCAGCCTAACGAACCGAATTTTTGATTTTAATTTCTAATTATAATCCGAACGCTTAAATTATATATAGTCTAAGGGCTCGAAATTTTAATGAGGCGTTATAGTGTTCTTTTAACTTAAAATAAGGGTACCTAAATAAGTCGCTTTCGACGTTATTCTGCGGTAGAAGTCGCGAAGACCGACTTACCTCTACCTCCGCTAGTCGTATCGTACTTAAATTAACTCTAAATAAAAAAGCTAATAGATAGAAAGGCTTATCCTACTGTTAACTCTTTTCTATTTTAAGTGTTTATCTTTTAAATATTACAGAAAGTATATAATTTAAAGTGTTTATAGTGTTATTTAGTGTAAAAACGCCTTTCGGCTCAATTAATAAAACTAGTTACTATACAAGAGGTTACAGAATCAAGCAGCGATGCTCTCTTTGCTTACTCTAACGGCCGAAGACGTTCAAGTTTACGTTCGATACCTTCAAACTGGCCAAGTCGAGCGGAGGAGTCGTTCAAAGCAAGTTTGTCCTAAGGAGGTATTTCTGTTGGCGCTGCATTAGTGATCTAGACTCAGGCGATCATGCCTGGAGCTGCGATCTTCGACTTCAAGGCATGTCAAGATGGAGAGAAAGTTATTACAGCATGTGATGGTTCAACTTCTGTTGAATTTTTCCACGAGAGCCTCTCAAGACTTCGTCCGACATTCTGTTACACGGAAACTACAAATCCTCAAGTTTCACCACACAGGAGTTTGACTATACGCTATTGGGGCCGTCGACGGTATTCATCAACCACCGAAAGTTGGTGGAAATTTTCAGTCTACTACCTCGAGAGCACTGCGTTAGACGTCTTTTGAGATGTGATTCTCATTCTATAGATGGCTAGATCGAGTACGACGGGTTCTAGCATGATTCAAGAGTCACGGCAATAGATAGCGACGAGATTGAGTTTGTCGATTGGGAAAATGTGCCGAGAAAATGCGGAACCAATATTACACAAGCTAGGAAACGCTGTGAAGTAGATGGAAAAGAGGACCACAACATGTTCTTTCCAGAAGAGCAATTGACACAACACGGGAAGGGCACGCGGCGACTCTGGAGACCGTGGTACAGAAACACTGGCAGGTACGACCGTACAAGCTGACTACTATGTGATCGAGTTCAGTCCAGCGTTCTCGGTTCATAGCTGGTGGCCAGGGAGAATGCTACAGGGCGAAGAAATAGACCTGGTACCGGGATCAGACATTAAGATGGAAATACCGTTCGACTTCTATCGCTTGACGTTGCCGTGGATCGGGTATGTCCTTACATTGCGGGTCCACAACCAGTTTTGGCTGTACAGTCCGCAAAGCCGTCTGGGTGGAGTTCATTTCAGGGTGTCCATCTCCATCTGTGCGACTTTGAGGATCTTTGGAAGGAAGTCTCTGAAACAATCATCGCGAGCGAGTAGGTGGCTGGAGAAGCCGGAGCGGGTTCGATATGAAAAATAGCTGTTTCCGTATACTTTCGGCAGGAGGTTTAAGGGCGGGGTATTAGTAGAATGAATTCCGGGGGGGATTTTATTTGTAGCTAAGATGAAGTAATTCATTGGACTAAAAGAATTGCGCAGAAGTCATATTCTCACAATTGTGATGTAAAAAACGGAAGTGACTATTATACCATTCTCCGGTCACAAGCCAATGTCCGAATCCCTAAGAAATAAACATTCGTATTCCAGTAACCTTAATATCAAACCAGCACGCACAAACGAACTCAATCTTGGGTATCCGCATAAAATACAACCTCCCCTCCATATCCCCATCAAACTTCTCCCACGCTGCCAAACACGCATTTATTAATCCCATTCCGTGACATCCATTCGTATCAAGCTGCTCTCTCACCACCCCATCAACGCATATCCCCCCTTGGCGCCTCAGTCGCGAACGATGCGACATCTACGCCTGTCGAGCAGGATGCGCAATCACCTCCGTCCGCCCACTACGATGCCAAACCGCAAGCAACTGTCCACAATGCCCACAATTATGCTCGCAGTCCTTGAGCCAGCTGCCGATGTAGGGGATGCAGCCGAGACAGAAACAACAACACAATAGTAATGCTGATCCGCTATGCGATTTTGTTAGCCAGTCCCCCATCTAATGGGATTAGGGTTAGGATACATACTGCGTCGTTCCGCCACTCACAAACTCCGTCCTCGTCAGCTCTCGCACGCCGCAAAATGGACAATCTACAGGCGTCGGCACGCTCTGCAATGTGTTCAGCGGACTCGCATGCGTGTATAGGTTCCGTGGTGGACCGCCTTGGGCGTGGGTTGGAGGTGCGCCGTTGCTGTGTTGCGGGTTTGTTTTCTCTTGGGCGTAGGAAGGTGGAGGAGCGGACATTTCGATGGGATGCTGTTGGTTTATTTGATGGTCTGATTGGGGGATCTCGGTGGCTTGTTGGTGGTGGAGTGGTTGGGCGAGGGGTTGGAGGGTTGGTTGGGTTTGGTGAGGTTGTTGGTGATGGAGATCGGTCTGTGGAGTAGTCTTGGAGTCCATGATGAAGGTGATGTGAGTTTGATTTCGGTCGTATGATTCAAGTCGAGGAGCGTTGGAAGGTGAATCATGAACTGGGAATCCGAGTTAATATAACCAACCCTACGTACATGATCTTCATGCGATTAGGCACAGCAAAGATCAAGGTTCCAACGTGGCTGTGCGTGCCATATGTCATGGTAAATTAGCTTCTTGGTGCTAGCTAGTGGAACCCCGACACGAGCTTCCATAAAGTACCAAGAAAGTGTGATGGGAGGGATATCATTTCTAGGCAACGGGCTTGGGAAAAGTGTTATGAATTCGTACGTTATGAGATGATATAGAATTGAGGGGGAAGTGAAAAGTATATCACCGTTGACCTCCCTTCCCACCTCCCAGAAGATACATCGTCACCTCCCTTCCCACCTCCCAGAAGATACATCGTCACTTCCAAATCCCCGAACATCAATTCACTTCCTCAAACTTGTCCCAAACTCTCCCCCCTCAAATTCCAATACGCATCACGGACACATAATAAAACCTCCGTACGACGTATCCAATAAACCTCCTCAATCGTAACCGTTACGTGAAGAACCCTCGGATGCAAATCAGCAAGGCGTTCGTGGCTTGCGCCACACGCCCATCGTCGGGTTTCGTGTCTGATTGGTGCGTACGTAGCCTTGTGGGGGATGGACCTTTAGTGCCAAGCTTTGGGGCGTCTGGGGTGATGATGTGCATGGGGCACGTGATCGGGTAAGACGTGTTATTTTGCTCAGTAGACGTAGATCTCTAATTATAAAAATAAAGAATATAAGATATAGATAAATAGAGAATATAGAGAGAGATTTTTAGTTAGTAATATAACTATTAATAAAGTAGTATAAATTAAAATTATTATATTTTATATAAATATCTAACTTAAAGATTAAGTTTATTAATAAATACTTATTTAATATTAATAAGAGTTTAATAGAATATAATTCTTTTATTTTCTAAAAGCTTAATATTAAAATAGTATAACTAGAATTAAGTATAATATATTAGACTTTTTAAATTATAAACCTAGACACCTACGTAGAAATAAATTGTTTATTTATCGAAGCTACATTTTACAAAATACAGCTTATACTACTCTATTTTGCGACGAGAGCTACGGCTTCTGCGTAATTCGTTTACATCTAAAAAAAAAATCCTAGTCGAAGATATATTTTGTAGCTAAAACTAACATACTTTCAAACTAAAATTCCAGGGCTTCTAATCCCACATAATTCTTTTAAAACTCAATACTTACCAAACTATCATGTCCCCCACACAATCCAAACATCCTGTGTCATCATCCTTTTTCGCAACTGAAAGAGAAACGCTATATCTTCTGCCGGATTCATAAAATCGCGCGCAGAGAAGGTAGATACTTGGCATAGCATAAACTGACCTACTGCTATAGTACAATGCGTTAAATTTATTGCCTCTTGAGATTGTATGTCAGGGAATTATCTAATTTCTATATTGGATATGTTTGTAAGGATACTACTTCCACCCATCTCTCACGATGATACCTCAAGATGTACTCTGTCTTAGGTAGAAAGCCGTTGTTGGCCATTCTCTCCTCCAGCTGTGGAAATCCCGGATGGAAATGCCTGAGGGAAATGCTGCATAAATGAAGAAGATGATTGCTGCTTCAACTTGCGTTGTCATAGCTGAAGGTAACGCCAAGATAGAGATCTAGCCTAACTATTCTCACATCAAAATTTGGAGAAACATTAAAAGCTCCTATGCCTCCTCCGAAATGTAAACAAACTCCCACAATCCTGTGCGGCTCCTCAATCTAAAGAACATGACCACCAAGAGTACCAATAACAGGCTTCAAACCCCATTTTGACCAGGAACATAAGGCTTCGTATAATCGTAGGGTCGGGTTTTATCTGTATAATAAGGGTCTACGGCGATCAAAGCATAAGCTGGATCTTCCGGAGCTCTACCACTGGGCCAGCAAGGATTGTTATTCAAGCCATCATTAGGAGCCGAGGCTGGCCAAGAAGAGATGGTGAACTTGGGCCGCGTTCTGACATTGACAGCGCCCAAATATGTGAATGTGCGCTTGTCGCCTGCAACTACTTCGCCGTATTTCTTGTCAGGATCCAACGCAATCTGGTCCTTCATGTCCCGATCCGAGACCTCTTTGGCAGGGATATTGAAGCACATGCTTTTCCACATCGATGCAGCCCCTGAGTTTTGAGTACCGGGCAGAAGTCGCGCCAGCTGACCACCTACGCTCTTAGTCCCAGCACCCACATAAGCGGGGCTATCTTCGCTCAGCATATATATTGGGGGGTACTCATCAACACCACACTTTTCGCTTCGAGGGGTGGCGTCTACGTTTTTCCAGCCATTGCCGCGATGATTCGATCTCCACGCACTCACCACATCTCTGTCTAGCACCGCCTTCTGCGTGGCTCCTGCTTCAGGTGGGCATGTCAATGTGGCCCATGATGGGTTGATGCTTATAGCAGAGCGGTAATGGTGACACGCCTGTGGCCAGCTTGCTTTGCATGGCTTTGCCACGAGGGTCTCCACTGCATTCGCAGCGTATATAACCGATGTAATATGCCATTCCTTCACGACCGTCTTTTCGTCAACACAAGATTCCTCCACAAGTTTATTGATTGTTCGTTTAGATTGCTTCGCTTTAGGGATCGTGCACTTTCCTTTGTTCTTTCCAGAACCACTGCCAGACGGCTTGGGCTTAGCTCGATCAGTTGGGTTAGCTTCGTCCCCTTTCTTGCCGCTGCCTTTTGGCACGTTCTTTGGCACCTTGAAATTTGAAACTCCACCAGCTACGGTGCTGAGAATATTGAAAGCTTTTTTAAGCTCTTCCGGTACGAGATTTGTCCCCCCACAAGGGCTTAACCACCAAGAGAAAGCCCCCTCAGGATCTTCTTCTTCGGGATAAGCGTAAGCGGCCATCTGTGCTGCCGTTGTAGCCATATCTATGGATGAAATATTTAGAATTTTGGTACTAGAACAGCTTGTGTCGGGAACGTGGAAGAATGGGAAGAAAATCTTACCTAAGCCAGCATCCATACCTTTCCCTACTCCGGGAATGGCCTGTACCCCAATATCCATTACTATCTTGATCGCCGACATAAGGATATAGCAGCCAATCTGTGCTATTATCGGTAAGGCTTCGGCAATAGTAGTCGCAAGTTCATTCAGAAGGTAGTTGTTGCAAAAGCACATGCCGGGTGCGGTAAGTGTACTTTTCCCAGGCTACTCAGGTCAATAGATTAGTTTAACTGTTTAAAAACAAGCATGTGTAGTAAACAACCACGACAAAGCAAAGTGGAAGTGTTGTAAAGCTCGAGATGCAACGTGATCAAAACTGTTGAGATGACTTACCACAGCGGTCCAAGGAATAGGTTCGTTCAGTGGAGTTCTTCCTATGCATCCCCAGTTTGTCGGAAGTCCTGCTGCTCGGTTTGCTTCGATAGCGCTTTTGCATGCCGTGTTATAGCATTGCGTAGCGCTCGCGTCTCGCATTGATCTGTCTTTAAAGAGTTGACACACCTTCATATTCGCTTGGTCGATAGAGTCATAATCTATAACGTTGGGATCATCGTCGTCTGTTACGACAATATCGTCTGTAGGAATTGTGGTGCAGATGTCGTCAGGACAGTAGCCATATTTGCAACCAAATAAACAAAGACGGTTAAGGTCAACGACAGACTCGTCCCAGGCGATAATATTTGACGCGTCCCTCGCGTCAGGGAGCGGACTTACTACGTCCTCAAATGTGCACCTACACAGGGATGTGGGGCAGAAACCAAGACTGCATGAGAACTCACAGAGATCCCCTGAATTGGTGGTCATATCTTCTCCCTCAACGCAACCTTCTTCCCCGTCTGTTGGCCGATCGGGTGGTATAGCCATGTCATCTGCAGTGAATGACTGGAGATCCACAGCCCAATCAATACTTCCGGCGAAGTTCAAACCCTTCCAATCAGCCCGCCTTGTCTCCTTGGTAGTCGGTGTCATGTAGCTAACATAGTCGCCTTGGTAAAGTATGATATCCGTATTAGATTCTCCATCATGAAACATTTGAACCCCACCAGCACGAATCAGCTCATTGATCTCTGCGAAACCAAGATATCCTCCAGTCTTCGTACAACGCCCTGGATGCGCATCGGATTGTGTTCTAGAGCCCGTGAATTCACACATTGGCCCCCAACAGCCGTCGGTTGCCATACGAAAAGATCGCCCATAACTTGCTTCGCCGACAAAGATTTTACTATTTGCGACTCCCGCTTTGGTGACTATACACAGGTTAGATGTGTCTGTGTCATGAATGTCCTGAAAAACCTACTAATGGAAAGAGAATTGCGAGTCTCTGTCAGATTCACATGACTACGGATACATTTGCCCGAATCGCACTTGTCGTAAGCATTTGGATTCCCATAATCCCACTGGCCGTGCAAGTCGTAAGTCATGTAGACGATGTAGTCTATCACCGCTGCTATACGGTCAATGGGAAAGCCTTTGAGATACCAGTACGACGCTGGCGCTGCAATGGAAACAGACAATGATGTGCCTGCCTGCTGCTTGAGAATGGTGAGGAACTTTAGGTAGTCAAGACCATCGGTTTTTTTCCCAATAGGCTCCCCACCCACAAGAATGTCTGGAGCACCAGGGTACTCCCAGTCGATATCAATGCCATCGATGCCTTCAGTCTTCGCAAACGTAGCGAGATTGCTAGCAAACAAATTGCGGTTGCTAATGATAGCTGAGCGAATGATGTTGTAAGTTGCTGGCTCTGTTGAAGCTGCCCACCCACCGAGGGAGACTATTCTCTTGACATTCTTTAAAGCCTTGAACTCAGCCCACTGTCCTTTGGACGATTCTTTGATCACGGGTTTCCATGTTGCAGGATCGATATCGGCAAAAGCCCAATGGATGTGAGTGTAACTGCCATCTGTATTTGCGTTTTTAGCCTTCAGCCACAAACAGTCGCGCTCGAAACTGTACGACTCGTAGTAACCGATGCGCTGGAAAGCAGCGGGTGCAGCCGAATTAAGCTTAATTTCCACTCCGCAGTTTGACACACACGTGGATAGGAAGCCGGGGGTTACACTTCCAGGTCCTCCAGCGAGCGGCGTGTGAACATCGCAATGAGCGGGGAACACACCGCAATATCCCCAATTGCTGCAGCAGGCTTTGAGAGGACACGGATTAAGGTCGGCGATGGATGTGGCGCTGTTGGCAGGCCGCTGGGTGCCAGGAACAAGTGGACCGCACTCAGTCCCAGCTTGTGATGGTGGTAAGGCTGCATCCCCGCTGCTAACACACATGTTGTACCCCAGAAGCATCGCTTTGCACTCAGTCCAAGCCCAGGTCTTGAATTTGTTCCATCGCTCTAGGTCGTCAATCGTCACACCGTACTTTTTAGACAAGCTATCACAGGTGTCGCCATTCTGAATAAGATGAGTAGCGCAAACTCCGTCGGCGCCAGGCTTCGGCGGATCAGGTTTTGGTTCCGTGTATGGATCTCCTGCCGAGCAACACACGTAGTCCTTGACTTGTAAAGTAGAGCACAAGTTGGCTTTGGGGTTGAATTTGGTAAAGTCGGCGGCCGAGATTCCACAGCGAGAGACCAGACTACCACAGCCATCATTGGCGACTACTTGGATGTAGCGACAGGTGGCGCGCTTGACATTATGAGCAATTGACCTTCCTGTCAGAGTTCCGTTGCTACTCAGAGTGCTGTTACTACTGAGTGTGATGTTATTTGCAGCACCAGGGCCGGAGAGATTGAAGAGGTTGATCTTGACGCTCCCGGAGGGCTGGAGATTGTCTTGACTCACGCAGTTACCCTTGGCCCAATTAGCTGCCATTTCTTGGACTCCAGCAAGATCTCCAGTCGTGTCAATTGCAACTCCAAACGTGCGAGTCGAGCCGGTTTGGAGACCGCATCGTTGAACAATGGTACGATTTGCTGCAGAAACTTGACTTTGCTGCATCAGCGCTTTGATAGCTGATAACGCAGTAGGTTTGGCCAAATCTGATCCAATGTAAATGCTTGCGACAGTTTGGCCATAGAATGCAAATGCGAAGTTCTCATCACAGTTATCTCGAGTAATAAAATACTTCTGAAAGCCGAGTAAAACGCCCGCAATCTCGTCACTAGTATCATTCCTACTACCACCACCGCTGGCTTGTATCTCTAACACTTCTGGGACCTGAGTACCGGTGGATGAGCAGGCCGAGGTGCTCCCAAGCCGAACACGAGAGAGACGATTTGATTTTTTTGGATTGTCCACATTCGTTAAGTTGACGTCTCCGCCGGAAAAGATGCGAGAGTTGACTCCAGGGCTTGAAGTTGTAAGTGTACAGCTTCGAATCAAGACATTTGTGGTGGGGTCGTCTAATGGTAATGTTGCTGAGAATTGTAGGAGCATAGCTTCTTTGCAGCGGGTGAGACGGTCGGTTGAAAGATATGTGATCCAGCTATGTATGTTTCCGTAGTCGAGACATGGAAGCGGACAATCGTGCTGATCAGGATAGTAGGTATCCAGATCTCCGATGGGTGAAGGATCTCCCTCCTTTAAGGGATCCACGGCCTGAGTACCATCGAGGTTAATGGCAGCGTGCACAATTACCACTCCATAGAGAAAAAGAATTCCAGCTGTACTGAGAGTCCGAATATACATCTTGAATCATTCAGAAAAAACAGGTTGACGAAGTGATCTCAGAATGATGCAGCCGGTAAGCTTCCTCTGAAGTTGGCAAGTTGCAACAATGAGGAGACTACCTTGGTTTAAACTTACCAGCTACAGGTTGAAGGGAAGTACAGACTCTTCGTATCAGGGTATCATATCAAGCTAGGAGACAATATGTGGGGGCGAACTTACGGTCCATCGTTGGTAAAGAATCTCTTTGAGTCTCATATCATATGTTGCCGAGGCCAGAAAATACAGGAACTTGTAGGGGTAGCTTGTCTGAAGTTCGCTGTGACAACTTATTGCAGGAAGTAAGCAAAAGTAGTTCCAACATATTTGCTTGGCTACTTGTTGTTTCTCGTGGTCGAGATTTCCTCAAAGCAATGCTACGGTAGCATGGACATTCTATTCTGCATCTAGAGGCTGGAAAATTTAATCCGTTCTTAGCGGAGAGAGTATGTCCATGTGGCCCTTGTTTGCTTGCAGTTTGCATGCAACTGTCATCATTAAAGTTAGTTCTACCTGGAATCATGCACCGTGCCACGCTAAATGTTGGACATTTCAATAGGCTCGTTCAGGATAAATCTTATAAGTGGAATATTTGCAAGGATTTCGGAGTTACTCGATGCTCCGAAGTAACTAAATGTCGCAGTCGTAGGAGTTGGAAACTTCTAGCGCTATAAAATTAAGATTGGGAATGCTTGGTACTGTACTCGGTGTTGGAAGTTGCAAGGTTGCTGTGCACGTGGAATCAACCATAGTCTGCTGATTTCAGCCTCTGCAGATTGGGATCTAGAACGCTTGGAGTGGATCTGGACAGGTTCGATATGAATTTCGCACGAAGTGAAAGGGGTGACTATACTTTTTCTTTTTGATTCTCCAAGGTGTGGCGCAGCTCTTATTCATTCTATACTTTTCCCCCAGACAGTCTTAGAGGCTCGATTATCATAGATCACAGAGAGCCTTTTTTCAAAAAGGATGCCTAACAGTAGTTTGAACAAGAACCAGGCTTATACTAGCCCAGCCATCCTTCGAGCTATCCTTAACACCAACCAAAAGGCGTTGATGATGGAACCAAATCTGCGCGCGTCTTAAAGATTATCAGGAATAATACTCTTCTGGTCATAGAACTCATGAATGAAGTTGATTAAATTAGAAGTAGTTGTTTATATACATCGATGAACTATTATCGCCTTATCCACCAAGATCAAGATGCTTGAAAGCCAAATGTGATGTGCTCTAGAAATTTGATAAGCCGGCAGGTTGGACGACATCAACCACGTTCCCTTCGTTCTCGTGTACGCACAGCAACAAACAGTTAACCATATTTAGATCCACATACCAGTTGACAGATGTGTATCTCCAGGTCTTAGACTTATTAGATACTGTCAAACCAATTTCTGTTCATACAGAGCAATCTCAGTTCCATGCTGAGTGCATAGCAGCCGCAGCCAAACCAGTGCTTGCGAACATCCACATTCCAAGCTCTTCATTTCGCCCGTTAACACCGCTTTTCGTGGGTTGAACCGTTGCAGTAGGAGTAGAAGTAGCTGTCACTCCACTTCTAGTAACACCCACAGGTGGTGTTGCAGATGCTGAAAATGTTGTTTTGGATACCGAGGACGACATCGTCGTGACCACTTCTGCATAGCAAGCGGCGAAAATGATAGTTTCATTCAGCATCGTCGGTCCCCCAGCAAATCTCATAGAGGCGTCAAACCAGCTGTTTGGACACTCCACAGCCAGATCAACAGCCTTCGAGCTATGAGCTGCCCACCAGGCGGATGCAGCACTGCCATAAGCGCGGTATTCTGGAAGAACAGACGCTGGTGCTGCTGTGGTGAAAGCACACCACTTTTCTTTGCTTGGGAAACAATTGAGGTCATCGATAACTGAGGACGAGCAGGTCTGAATGAGAGTGCTACCATAAGATACGAGTGCGGATAGGAGGTTGCCTGTTGGCATTGGAACGTCGAAATATTGAGTGATGTTTTCCGTTGCACATTGCCATGGATCGCGCGACAATGTTGGCACCGCCGTAGGTATAACGGTCTGGTAGACAGCTGAATCCGACCATGCACAGGTGGTACAAAATATGGTGGTAGCGGCCAAAAGAGTTGATAATCGTGCTGTCATGTTGATAACTACTGTGGAAGTTGATCTCGCTTTGAATGGTTTTGTGTAGATGATTTGCTCGTCGATTCTTCAAATTGTTGCAAAATCGACTTGAGCTATTGTTCAGGAAAGATGTTGGAAGAGAACAATCTTGGATAATCTCAAAAACCAACATTTAGCGCGCTCGCTAGCAATCTTTTGTTCAGGGGTCAACAAGACACATTTCTTGGCCCGCTCCGTAAAAATATGTATTCCGTATCACTTACCTTTTTCAGTCGGCTGTCACAGTTGGGTCTATTGTATGTGAAGTCGCAGTATACCTACGGGGTATGCCATATCTATTGGTCAGGTCCCCTAGAAGAGGCACCAACCTTGAGGGAGATTACAGGAAAAGCATAAAAATCATACAGTTGACGGCCCACCCAAACCGGTGAGAATATCGTAAACAATTCGAATGACAAAGTACTTTCGGGAAAGTTATTAACCAGAGATTACTCCTACTGCTTACTGTTCATTAACGCGGTTTGGGCTGATGTAGTTTCCAGAATTCTCTGTTCGTGTAGGCCCTGTCGATAATTGAATGGAAGCTATTATCGCGTGCTGGAAGCAGATGTTAGGGAGCATCTCCTTATTCTTGTGAATAGAGTGCCCAGAGCCCCAGACTCGAAGACATTGAAACTGATTGCACATAATTCAGAAGTACTCGAAAGGGAAACCCCCTTTCCGTGGGAAGAGTGCCAAGTCGTGTTTTTAACGGCGATGGCCCTAACTCCATTCGGTAAATTAACCTTGCTTACGGTAGCGACTGCTCGCCGCGTTTGTCTTCAGCAGCATCAACCTTAAATCGAAGACATCTGAAGGTCCTTCCCCACCTAAACGCATACCAACAAGAAAAATGCCGGAGCTCAGCGATGTCGTCTACTCTCGTACCGAAACTGTGCAGGCATTTCGGGACTATTACCGCTTCCTCGTCGGCTTGTATTTAGACGAATCGTACGTTGTTGAGCCTCCGAAAGGCGGCTGGCCCTCGATAACACCAAATGTTGTTCGGGAATTGATTGGGAAGGACGAAGAAGTCGCTGGACTGCTTCGAGAATTGCCTTATATTCGCGGTAAATGTTTGGAGGACTTCCCTGGAACTCAGGCAACCCCTATCTGTGTGTGGGCAGATTGGGATGATTTACTCAGGATTGGAGGTGATGGGTTGAATATCATGACGGAAGGAACGATTTTTGAGGATGTACCGTCACATGTTATTGGCTTAACAATCAACACTGATGATCACAAGAAGTTTCTTCTTGACACCAAGCTTGGGATCGTTTACTGGCCAGAGTACGTTGAGCTTCAATACGAACACCGTAGTCACGGTACCTTCAACCTCATGTCGTGGGTTGAAAATCCGATCGAGCAGATAACTGACGACCCGGAGGATTATGCGCCAGAAAACGAGGTCGAGTGGAGATCCGAGTCACCAGCCTGGACTATTGTGGACTTTTTCGAGCTCCTAAAGTCGCAGTACCGCGAACTCAATTTCATTCCGATCAATTCAGACGAGGTTTTGACTGTAAAGGCCCGCTTCAAGCCCGCCTTGGATGGAATGATTCCTATGATCCGGCGAATCTATCACGAGCATGGCTGGCCTCAAGGGACGGATTATCGTAAGCAGGAGTGTCTGAAGGCCATAAAGACTGCAATGGATGAGCATTACCCTACCTTTTCAAGCTTCTAAAGATTCATCGTCTTGTGTTGTGCTCTTCTGCCTTGAGCTTCTGGGTAGAGAGCCTCGCATCTTGAGGGGCCCTTTGGTATGTGTCAGCCATCAGGTATCTTCTACCAATAAGGCGATTCAGAGTGTGTCACTTTTGTTCAGGTCAAGCTTCTACTTTATTTGAAGGCTTCTTTCAATGTTAGAAGTGAGGAAGAGTCTGAAGTCATGCCGCTTTCGTCGAGTTCTCCCTAAACCCTGGGTATTATGGAATTATTCCTTAGCACATCGCCCTTTGATCGCTCCTTTAGTAGCACTGATAAAAACAGCCATACTCCTGCAAATCTTACCTTCCTCAGCTTTCTTGACTTCCACGATAAATGTGCAGCCTTGGCGCGTTGTGTGGGATGCGTGGGATAGATCCGAGCGGCTCACTGGGAATCCTTGTGCAATAAGTGTCATTTTTACCTTTTGAAAAGGTTTATCTGAATCGTAGTTTTTTTTCCGGGCAGTACCCACACTTTTGCAATTTTTGGCCCTGCTTATATGCAGTTGGAACTTATTCGCACTGTGATATCGTGCGCCAAGTTTCCCATGAAGTAGGGGAGAATCTAGTACTGTACTTACATGTAGGGGGGCGGCGGCAGCGTAGCCCCATACCTGGCCATAAGTGTTTCCGGCACACGACAAACGAACCCGCAAGGACCCTGGATTTCCTTTTTCGTTAACGAGTGACAAAATTTTATGGTCGCCCTCGGTTACACAAGGGATCTTGTAATAATGAGTCCCCATTGAGTATCACTTTTTCGACTTACATCGGATGGACAATACGGAGATGAGACTACGTTTTGCCTTGGGCATGAAGAGCCGGAATTAATCTCGGTCCAGAAATTGGATAATGTGCTGACAGCACACCGAGTAGGCAGATCCCACTCAGACCCAATATTTGGTGGTGATTGTGCGAATTTCATACAATTCGGATGTGTTTGTTCTGCGGATGGGGAGGCTATGTTTCTCCTTCATATACCCGGAAAGGTACATCCAATAAGTCAGAAGCTAAAAAACATTGCTTACTCTTTTTTATTCTTTTGGGTGTTTATGTAGGAATTGCTGCAAAGGGCGCAGCTATTCCCTCTTTACATTGCCACCGATAAGTGTGTTCTACAACATGCTCGCCAACATCAACATGAAGATTCTCGTGAGCATTGCTTCAGTTATGATCTCAACCAAAGTTGCCGCGGTGGTGATCCACCCCAGAGATTGTAGCTTTACTTGGGCGGCCGAGATTGAGGACACATGCCAGTCTATGGCTTCGTCCTGGGAAATCACTGAAGCTCAATTCATCAGCTACAACCCCGGAGTCGTTTGTTCTGCTCTTGTTGCTGGGAAGGAGTACTGCGTAGAGTGGGTGTCGACGATACCTACAACTTCATCAAGTACTAGCTCATCGATGCAGTCAACTACATCCACCAGAGATTCTACCACCTTAATCACAGGCCCAGCCACTTCCACAGCAAAACCAACTTCATCCACGACAAAGTCCACAACGGCTACAACTACCACTTCGACAGCGCCTACTGGACCGGTTCCAACTCAGACTGGCATTACTAGTGACTGTAGGAAATGTCAAGCCCTGAACTGAAGTCATCTCTAACCTTGACCAGGTAAAAGCTACTACCTCGCGGTCGCGGAAGATACTTGCAATGGAATTGTGTCCAAATTTGGAGGAGGGTTTACGCTTCAACAGTTGTAAGTAGTGATACAAACCTTCGGTTCTGGTCTTACGATTTTAGCTTACACAATAAAAAATAGTTATAATTGGAACTTGGCCATTACAGGAGGTAAGTCGTCCACTCCTATCAACACCACGCAATACTAACATAAGAAAGATTGTGGAGGTCTTTGGGCTGGCTATTATTACTGCGTCGGCGTGCCAGGGACACCGACCGGCAAGCCAACGACGACGAAAACTTCAGTCACACCAGCGCCAACCGGGAAGCTGATTAGTGAAGACGGAATCTGTGGATTTAACGGCAGAACCTGTGTAGGAAGTCAGTTTGGAAATTGCTGCTCCAAAAACTTCTACTGCGGTTCTTCATTGGATTATTGCGCCATGTCGAATGGCTGTCTTGCCGCCTTTGGGACCTGTCAAGCTACTACCGTGGACGGCATTTGTGGTTTCAATGGAAGAACATGTCTAGGAGGAAATTTTGGTGATTGCTGCTCCAGGAATTTCTACTGTGGCTCTTCACTAGACTCCTGCTCAGTATCTAGTGGTTGCTTGTCCTCTTTTGGAACGTGCCAGGCAGTTACTCAAGATGGAATATGCGGATTTAATGGAAGAACATGTATCGGAGGTAATTTCGGCAATTGCTGCTCGAAGAATTTTTATTGCGGAGCTTCGACAGATTACTGCGCATCTCGGAACTGTTTGCCAGGATTTGGCAATTGCAATGCTACATAGTGTGATGATCGGAGTTGTAATTGCAGACAAGACTATCGACTCATTTAGAACAATAGAAAGATTATTGAAGGTTGGAACCCGACTTCCGATAAAAGTTATTGTCACCTTCAATATCAGAATGTTTTGACACCAAGGGAAAAGTGTGTAGATCTCTTATGTAGATACAAGACAAAGGTCGGCTACAGTGGTGACTTCCATAAATCTTGTCCTCCTAAACGTCAACTCACAGGTTGCATTAACATGTGAAGTACTTCTGACCATATAGATACGCCCCAGAAGGGAATTCGAAGTACATTAAATCATGTTAAAAATAGCTCCAATAAAAGCCCAGCAGCTGATATATTTAAAAGGCGTACAATCATTAGCGAGGGACTATAATTATATTACCCAGAAGGATTTGTAACCTCCAAGAACAAGCCCCGGCACAACCATCGATGGTGTCTATGTGCCAAAAGATGTAAGCTGTCCTTTGTTGTAACAAATGGCTATGCTGCCGGTATTAGTATTGAATGTATGTTTTTGACTTTAGTATAGGCTGAGCCGTACACCAGTGCTTGGATACTCACTTGCAGTGAAGCAAAGTTCATACCTTTCCGAAAAGCTTCTCCCACCACGTTACTTGAATGATTATAGCGAAGACGTGAGGGAAGCTAATTAACCATGTTCGCTAGGTTCCAGTGGCTGTTTAGGACTTTAGATAGAAAGCAGGTTCTCTAGCCGTCTTCTTTGATGCTATAATTTCTTGAGAAACTGCTACTCCATTTGGTCCGATTATACCTGATGTTTGTTCTCCTGATTATTCGAGAATCCATGAAACAATTTTCCGAATCCCGCAATTCAGAGTAGCAAGATAAGTATTATCAAAAATCTAACAACTTCGATAGTTTTGCATACATGGAAGCGTCAACCGTCCTTTCTAAATTCCATTTTTCATTCATATTAGAGTCTTTTAATCCTCACTTGAGAATTGGGAAGGACAAAGTCATTGTCAAGCCACGTAGTGGAAACCTGATATTTGGATCAAACTTGCCAGCAGACGAACAAATGTGTAATAAGTGTTGACCAGATCTTAGTGATGTTTACTGTGAAAAAATTGAAGTGCTAAATATTTACTGCACTATTTTGAATACACAGCGTTATTGGGTCTCCAAGAAGTTTCCACTCGGTCTTGCTGGCGTAGTATTCGTTACCTAGCCCATTAACAACACGACATCGGAGTTGAAAACGCTACATCTTGAAGTCGAGAGGCTTGGACGATCGTCATAGAAGCACGACCGCAAGCATTACATTCTTCCTCATAGATCGTGAAATGAAATTGAAATACCTGTCAAGCTGTACAAGCTGTTGGATTGTGCTGACCGGCATCCCCATCTTGAACCAACAAACCCAACGCCGTGTTACGACTCAAAGGTCGGCCGTACTAAGTACCACAATTCCATCAGGATTTCAGGAGTCTAATTGCAAACGCCCTCTGAGCAAATATCATTAACGAATCACCGATATCACTGTTTCCGAACCAGGCTACGAATAATCGCTCCGACAGTTTAGTGGGGTAGAAATAAGGGCTGACATTAACCCGAGTCGATTTCCTGGTTCTAGACAGCTCGAGCGTCAGACAATTCGTTAGCAATCTGGCGTTCAAGTACATGTTGAGTGTCAAACACTCAGAGGCACATGTACTCTATCTTCGACACCCTGTGGCCGCCGATTACGGTATAGTCAAGTTCGTTTCAGACTACTACTATCAATTTACTGACGTATACGTTATTTGAGTTTGCTGCATCGAGACCGAGGGACGAGGCACAAAAACGGCTTTGAACCTCAATGTCGTCCTATCACATGCAAGGGGCAGAAGCCGATGATTGAGGAAATACTCTAGAAAAAGTGTTCTTTCCGCCTCAACGTAGGAAAAGATGTCTAAGCACTGCAGTTTGAGATTTCAGAAAAAATAATTAGTCTTTCGATAAATACAACTCTCTTGACATTGAATGTAATCTCGTTATGACGCAGTGTGTGCTAGTTCCACTTGATCTACTGGAATTTTTCGGACTCAGTTTATCGCCCTGTGACCATAAATATCTTTGATTAATTCCTAGGAGGTAATAGGATGCTAATGCTAGTGACATTTGTTCTTGTTTTTCATTTATTTATTCTGTTTATATATTCGGCGAAAGCGAAGTTATTTCCGAACAAGCTCTATAAAAAAAGAAGAAAAAGAACTACGGACGCCTTTGAGAAATTATAACTTGTTTTACAAATACATACTGCTCTTCTTCCTTTAACAGATATAAAATGTTAGCTGAGAAATAAGCCGGTATTTGTTCCTCTATTGGCTACCACTTGTCTGTATTTCTTCTCGAATATACTACCTAAAGATGCCATTAACTATCACGATATGGGATTATAATCTGATGTATTACCACGAATTAACATATTAGTCATTCCACAACAATAATCTGGCGACTATGTTCGAATGGCTACAACTTCTATGTAATTCTTCCGAATAAACTTTCTCACCTATTATGCCTGTATCTACACCTCTGATACTCCAACTTTACATGTTGCGCATTAACGTATAAAGCCATCATTCTTTTGTTCCATAGCTCGAAGAATTGTTTAATCAAACATCATCCTTCCTAAGCAAAATCGAAGCGTTTGCTGAATCCGACAATTGAATCACCTAATCAAGGATAAGTTCTATTACACCACATATTCACACCACCCACGCCTTGCCGTTGCATGTAGTACTATGCAAACACGCCCCTGAATTGCCTGATCGAAGCTGCACCACATATATGTTTACACCAGCGACGGTATATAGTACGACCGCATCGAGGTTCGAAGCCGTTTTTTCGTCACCTCTATCGACCCAAAGTACCTTACCTTATTAGCATTTCCGTCTGTATGCAGTCCTAGATGTTTAACCTCGTTTTAGATTGATAATTGACTATACCAGTATGGCATTGTTCGTTTTTTGTTCACACAACTGATACGCGATGAAAACCAGTGGTCATTCGACTCGAGTCAGGATCAAACTTTCTTTACCCCACAGAGACGGGGATGCGGGTTTATTCTCCGAGTAATGGTTTTAGCTTGGATCGAAAGAGGTTATACTGTATCGGTATTATTGCATCTGATCGGAGCTTTGAAAATGGCTCTACGACGCTGATGTGGTCGTACAGCGGATTTTAGGGGTCGTGACACTGCGTTGTGTTGAGGTTTCGATAATGAAATACGGATATGTGCGGTAATACAACCACGACGGTATGGTTGTTCATAAGCTACGATTAGATTGAATTGCATGGAAGAGTTGCAACCGAGCTTCTGTTGTGAAGATGTCTCTTATATTCCGTAGATTAGGGCGTTTTAAATTCCGACATAGCGTGCTTTGCGTAGACTTCGAGTGTCGCTGGATGTGAGGTGAGTTTAAGGTTTGTATCGGCGTTGAGGAACGGTCCGTGAGACGAATATACTTCGAAATACTTTGGGTAGGGTGACGATGATATTAGCAAGCTGCTTCAGCATTGATGCATGCTATTGAGCAAGTATAGGAGTGTATATGAGCAGCAAAAAACGTGCATTTTGGCACTTTGCATTTGGTCAACCACGGGTGTCCACTCCCGTTCAACACCTAAGGTTACTTGATTGGCAAACATCTTCATTCGAACCGACCTTCAAGGGTCCAATTCAACAAAGCCTAGACCGTAAAAGCCACCATAATTCTCCTGGTGCCACTTTCTGGACGGTGCATGGATGTCCCAATCAACACGGTGCACGGGACCTGGAAACAAGATAAGATTTCGCTCTCATCTAGGCCTTGCCTTCTAGCCCTTGAGAACATGCAGTCTACCGATAGGTACGGAGGTACTGGAGAGCTGCTGCTCTCCACCTGCTCAGACCCTCGAAACGCACTGGACCATCCCTCTTCCCAAAATGTATCGCAAGATATTCTTATTTCTATATAATCAATTCTCCACCATCGCCTGCGCAGTTTTGGAGATGACCGTTTGCGAAGAGCTTGCTTATCCTACTTAGTATGACCACTCCAGATCCAGCCGATGCTCAACCATCGTGCGCCACCGAACCCCACGATGTCAACACTGGCGCTCCAGCAAACGCCACGCTAGAGAGTTCGAAGTCGGAACAGGATCATGGGCACGATGTTGGAACGGTTCCCGAGTCGGACAATACAAGATATCAAAACGATGAGCTGGTTGGCAGTACATCGAAGGAGGCAGGTCCAGCTCATATATCCAGCGAAATTGCTGTTCCAGCGGATTTGAAGGATACGGAATTGGACGGCGAACCGATTCCCTCGAACGATGCAAGTGTGCAAGGAGATGGCGAGCCGTTGCGCATCGAAAGAGTCTTTCCCATACGGATAGAAATCCCTGATAATCAACTCCCTACAGATAGTAAGCAGCCTCAATTGTTTCGAGTCGGTTTAATAACTCCCACCAGCTTCATCAGACGCAGCGACCATCGATTCGAATGATAGTGTCGTCCAAACACCATCTTCCAAGAACTCCAACCCCGATTTGCAGTCAGAAATCAGAAAACAACTCGACGAAGCGCCACAAGTATTCACGAATCAACCATCTCAAGCGGTATCGAACGGGGAATACTTTGTGACAAGCAGATTCAGTTACTTTACTGGAAACAATGACAGTCGAAGAGATTCTGCAATTAGCGAAGGTTCAAAGTCTGCTCAATCGAGTGAGCGACCAGGTACGGGTGAATCTGCCGTCGCGGTGGAAAGCACCGAAAAGGTATTCCGCTGCGAGGACGAACCAATACACATTCCCGGCGCAATCCAACGATTTGGAGCCTTGATCGCCATTAGGGAATCTCCAGACGGCGTGTTTTCCGTTCGAATCGTGAGTGAGAACTCGAATAACATTACTGGACTTGACCCAGAGGCACTATTCGAGCTGCGTTGTTTTACAGATATTCTGGTTCAACATGACAAGAAGGAATTCGTGTCGCGAGCCCGCTCCATGAGAAGTTGGACACCCGAAGATACCGCTAGAACCAACCCAGATGTCTTCACGATCTCCTTGACCAGTCTAATCGGCGCGCCCAAGCCGGTCTTCTGTGCCCTACATTGCAATTTGGGATCTGATCTGATCATCTGCGAATTCGAACCAAAGCACGATATCTTTCAATCGGAACCACCCGCTCTTCCTGCACATCCTATCTCAGTAACCGATCATCAGGCTTTTGCGCCCGAAGAACTTCGTCCCTTGATGACGAAAAGTAAACCTCTGCGGATTAATCGGGAGAGTGGGAGGCAGTTGGGCTCGATGGAGTTGTTTCATATGCTTTGTGAGATGCAGGCACAGCTTGCCAGTGCCAAAGACTTGACCGCGTTGCTTGATATCACTGTCGGTCTGGTTTATGAGTTGACTGGGTTTCATAGAGTTATGGTGTATCAATTTGATGAGACGAACGCGTAAGTGGGTTTTCTTACTCCAAGTTTGGCAGATGGAAGTTATTTCAGAGCAAGTCTCTTCCACGTGGAGATTGAGCAGTACCTACTATGTCAACTCCGTAGCAGCAATATGCAATGCCGTGTTGATGAGCACCATGGCACATCTTGGAAGTCCAGGATTTTAATGGGCTGCGTTGAGCCAAGTGGCTCCATTAGCATTCTGTTGCGAAAATACTGTCTACAGAGTATCTCGATGGTCGCGCTGACCACCAATTGTCTCGCGTCTGTCGAAGTCTGTGAAAATGACAAGCTAATTGTCATAGGGGTTGTGTTGTTTCCGAATATTTCAATAATAAAGCAACCCGAGATTCTTATCTGAACCTACATTTCCCAGCATCCGACATTCCCAAACAAGCTCGCGAATTATACGTAATTAACAAGATTCGAGTTCTCTATGATAGAGACGAAGAAACGGCTAGACTGATGTGTCGTACATTGAAAGATGCAGAAACTCCACTAGATCTCAAGCATTCCTATCTTCGTGCCATGTCACCAATTCACATCAAATATCTACACAACATGGGTGTCAGAGCTTCCATGTCCATCTCTCTAATGGTCGAAAACAAGCTTTGGGGTTTGATCAGTTGTCATAATTATGGTTCCGAAGCTCGAGTCTCACTACCAGTCCGAGAGTTATGTCGATCACTTGGCGAAACCTGTTCAACACATATCGAGAAGTTATTATATTCCGCCCGAATCAAAGTTCGTAAACCACTTTCCGCGGCGCCTAAGAAAACCTCACCTACCGCTTTCATCAACGCTTCATCTTCAGATCTTCTTAACATGTTTGACGCCGATTTTGGATTTCTTGCGATCAAGGGCGAGGCTAGAACGATTGGAAAATTAACAGCTTACAATGAGGCCATTGCACTTTTACAATATATACGTCAACGTTCATTTACCCAAATCTTCGCCACTCAAAATGTCAAAAAGGATTGTCCCACAATCGACTTTCCTACTGGATTTTCTGTACTTTCCGGGATGTTGGTCGTTCCGTTGGCGTTGGATGGGATTGACTTCTTGGTATTCTTTCGAAAGTCGAAATCGAAAGAGATTTTTTGGGCGGGAAATCCTCATGAGAAGGATTTGAAGGTTGGACAGAATGCTTATTTGGAACCGAGGAGTTCTTTTAAGAGGTGGAGTGAACAGGTTGTTGGGACGAGTCGGGAGTGGACTGAGGATCAAGGTGGGTTGTTTTTGTCTTTATGTGTTTTTCGCAAGGATTTGATGGAGTTTCTTCGAGGATGAGCAGAACTCGGTGAATTGGGATACAGCACAATTTGCAGGCCTCGCGAAACAATTTTCTAGCCGTCTCGATCTTCTGGCCGTTAAATTTACGAGCAGATGCTAACTTGATGTAGTGGAATCCGCTGCAGTTTTAAGTACATTATACGGAAGATTTATTGAAATCTGGCGGCAAAAGGACTCGATTGTACAGAGGAATCGTATGACACGTCTTTTGATTAGAAATGCTGGCCACGAAGGTAAGATCGAGTCCAACTATAGTCGTTCCCCGCTTACCATTCAGTTCGAACCCCATTGAATAGTATTATCAACTACCTAGAAGTCGCTCTGGAAGAGCCTTTGGATGAGCGAGCTCGAAATCACCTACACAGGTCCTTACAAGCTTCAAAATCACTAGTCTTTGTAGTAAATGATCTACTTAGTCTGACTGAAGTGGAGGGTATCGATTTCAAAAATCATGAAGACGATTTCAATTTGAAAGAAATGATATCCGATCTCATTTCGGCATTTAAAAACGAGTCAATCAGGCAACATCTTGAAATATTACTTCAAGATGATGAGTCAATACCAGCGGTCGTACGCTGCGATCCAACTGGGTTGAGGCAGGTATTATCGAATTTACTAACAAATGCAATTGAGCATGGATCTGGAGATCATGTTGAGATTGGATTGAAACATCTAAGTTCCACAAACGACAACAATTTAGTTGAAATTTCATTTCAGGATCGAGGGAAAGGGCTGACGGAAGTGGAACTAGACAGCATTTTCCTAGATTTGGAACAAGTGTTAGATGAAGATGAAGGGTCGCCAGAAGGAACACCGGCAGATGGTCCGAAACTAACAGCCGAACCCCCACGACCGAAGTTTATCGGATTAGGCCTTGCATTTACGGCAAGATTCGTACGATTGAATCTTGGCCAAATCACCATGTCCTCGAAAATAGGAAAAGGAACACGAGTCTCCATCAAAATCCCATTTCGAAAAGCTGTCAAAGCCAAAACACCCCCAGCAAGTCCATTAGGCTTGGCTCTTCCTACACCACCTTGCGATCCAACCCACCTCCTCACCGCGTCCAAACTCCAAGTCCCTTCAACCCTCCCAATCCGCACCCTAAATCCAGACTCAACGGCTCAGTTACCACTCACCGCCCCCTCCCCTTCCCTATTACTCACCACCCCACCTCCAGCCGCCCTCACCACCTCCCCTCTCCCCTCTACGCCCCTGTCCCACTACCCCTTCCCCGAGATGCTGCGCCCGGAGGGGCAGAAATCGAAATTCAACGTCCTCATCGCCGAAGACAACCCGCTTAACAGCCGGTTACTAGAGACGAGACTGGTGAAGCGCGGTCATAACGTACGGGTCACGGTTGATGGACAGGCGTGTGCGGATGCGTTTATGAGGGACCCCGGGGGGTTTGATGTCGTGTTGATGGATCTGCAGGTACGTTTAAAATTAGATTTCAAATGCTGTGTGAATATGTCTGACATGATTTTCGCGTAGATGCCACTCGTAGACGGCAGTGCCTCAACCCGACTCATCCGCGCATTCGAAGCCGAAGCTCACACCAAGATCCAGACCGAATCCCCACCAAACCGCATCCCCATCATAGCAGTCAGCGCCTCTCTCACCGAAAACGCGCTCGACGACTACCTAGCTACGGGCTTTGATGGCTGGATTCTAAAGCCGATTGATTTCTCGAGGCTGGAGGCGATTCTGGAGGCGATTGTTGATCAGAGGATTAGGGGACTGTTACTGCATGGGAGGGAGGTTTGGGAGAGGGGTGGTTGGTTTAGGTAGGACGGGTGGGAATGACAAGGGGAGGGGAGGGAGAGGGATAGAGAGGAGGGAGGGAGTGGGAGGAGAGATATAGAGAGGACGAGGGAGACTAAATAGGGGTAGAAGAGGATAAGAATGGTGAGAGGGGAGAGGGATTTGTACATTACCGCATATACCCCAGAAAGAAAGGGTAGGTCGGCGAAATGGTGTTTAGGTTGGTTGTTTGATTGTAAAATATACACAATTTTGCATCGGGATCTTGGTGGTAATTTGGGTTGGGTTGGGTTGGGTTATATCACGTACATGGGTCAGGATATAGAAAATTAGTTGGAGCTGAGTTGGTAGATGGGATATCATAATGAAAAGGATGTAATAAGATGGTTATTGTGTATTTCAGTTAAAAGGGTGATTTAAGAAGTTTGCAATTAAAGGTTTATATTGCTGTGCGTGGTGGTGTGGAGAAGGGGAGGAGATGAGATTAGAAGATAGCTCGTCTGAGCTTCTTACCAGGTTTCAGAGTTTTTTCTTAGCGAGGGTGGCTGGGTTGGAAAGATATCTATCTGATGTCTGTGAATGGGAATATGTAGTACTGGCTATGATGAGAGTTGAATTCCGTGGGGGAGGGGGTGGTGTGGTGAGGGGTGAGGGGTGAGTCAGTTATGGAGGGAGGGATGAGATGGGGTGGTTAGGGGGTGAAAGGAGGTGGGGAAGTGGGGAAGTGGGAAGATGAGGTGTGGAAGTTGTAAGTTGTAAGTTGGATAGGTAGGAGAGAAGTTGGATAGGTAGGTGAGTAGTAGGTGAGTGGTAGAAGAGAGGTAGGAGAGGGTACTTTGTATTTTGGAATTTGTGGTAAGGAGACGTGATAGATAGATTAATACTATAAGTATAATTCTAGGAGAGGGATAAAGTAGAGAAGAATACAGGTTATTCTATACTTATAATCTATATACTAATTAGATTTATCTCTTACCTAATAATACTCTCTTTAATATATTCTTAGCTAGAACTAAGGATATAGATATTTTATTATAGTTATAATTTCCTACTATAGTCGAGGGTTTAAAGGGCGGCTATGCTTAGTTTCTTACGTAAAATAATATAATAATACGCGTATAGGTTAGAAAATAGACTTCTTTATATAATTTAGAATAGAATTATAGTTTATATTACTATATTACTAACTACAAAGACTAAGGACCTCTATATCGACCGAACTAGTAAGAGTAGAGTATTATTAAACTTTTAATACTTTAGTAAGATTTAAAAATAGATAGCTAAGATTATAGCTAAAATGTCTATAAAGCGTGGAGAGGGAGAAATAGGATAGTTGAGATTATATAGTTAAGAGTAAGGAGGAGGAGAGGAAGTGTTAGGTAGTGCAATTTACTGTATATAGAGCTCGAAGTACGGTTATATTTTATTACTTTTTAGGTTGAAAGGGGGTTATCGAATTAGTACAAATTTATACGCGGAAAGATTTGCGAGAACTCTTAGATAAATGGCACAGCTGTACACCTGTAAGCTAAAAAGCTAATCTCAAAGTACTAAAATCTTGACGTCCCCATCAATCTATAATCAAAAACGCTTGTAGATCACATCTTATTAATTCGGGAGCTAAAAATCCAATCTCAAATTATTATATAACCTCAGCATGCTAAAACCTCCGCATAGATCGCTCGCTCAAGCTAAACCACCCCCTAAGCCTTCTCAACAGGCACCACCCCTCCCGTCTTCGAATCAATAACCCCCGCCTGTCCCTGCCCCATCGGCGAAACAGGCGACGCAACATTTGAACCCCCCGTGATCCCCTGCGTCTGCAACGCACCCGGACTCTTCTGATCAACAGGCGACAACGGCGACGCAGGCGCACTACCCATACTAGACATGGTATTCGTATGTAACAACGCGGCCGGACTAGCGCCAACCACAGATTTAATCACGTCGGCCCATTTCTGGGCGTCGGCGGGGGAATGCGCTTTGAATGATATTTCCGAGGAGCCTGACAGTTTGCTACCGATGCCTTTGCTCACGTCCTTCCCTTTGATGTTGAATTTCTCGCCGGCCGTCGTACCGATCACGGCGTCTGGGAGGTAGATGGAGAGTTCCGGGACGGGGTCTTTGCGGAGGTTGTCGTTGTCTTTGAATTCGTGGAGGAATTTGGAGGGGGTGACGACGTAGTAGCCGGTGGAGTAGCCGGACATGCTTAGTTTGTTGCGGGACTTGCGCTCGAGGGTTCCTTCGATTAGGGGTTGCGTGCTGCGGTGGTTTTGGTTGGCAAAGGCTATTCCTTCGACGGTTCGTTCGGGCGCGTTGGGGTTGATTAGGATGTTGGAGTTGCGTTGGACAAATTGGTTCCATTCGAAATCTGTAGGGACTCGTTGCGTGGTGGCTAGCATGTCGCCATATAGTTCTTGTTGTTTTTGCGCTTGACCGGCTACGAATTGGTTGAAGGACATCATTGCTTGTTGAATGACTTCAATAACATGATGTTCGAATTGCGCAAAGTTGTTTTGTACAGCTATCAGATCGTGTTTGTTGTTGTTCTCGTGTAAAACTTGAGCTGATAGTCGGTGGAGAACACCTCGTTTGACGACATATGGATCTTCCGCGGAATGCATTTTGCCCCCAGTGGACTCGAAGTTTGCGGTTTGCTGGCCTAATAATTCGATGTGCTTCTGGGTGGTATTTCGAGCCTTGTCAACCTCCTTGGCTCCTTTGGCCGCACCTGAAGATAGCTCTTTTGACTTGTTCTTGATTTCTTTGTGTAAACGGTCGAGGATAGGTAGGACGGAGCCTTTGAGGTTTTGTTCGGTTTCGAGATGTGAGTTTGCAAGGCCCTAGTAAATTAGTAAATGATAGGACCCTGGGCACAATAAACTTACTTGTGTATTCAACCGCATATTCTCGAAAACCGATGCTATCCCGCCAAGACCTTGATCGAAATGATGGCCTTCTTTCAGCGGATTGTTGATTGTCTGGAAGAATTAATTAAGACATGCTAGAACATAAATTCCTCCAAATCATACCTTCAACACCTTCTCGTACTCCTTCGCATGCGCCTTTTGCACCTTCTCCGTCGCGCTAACATAATCTTCGAGGTATCCTACTGCGTGCTTCCATGCTCGCAGACGTTCTTCGAGGAGTCCAGAAGTCTAGCACACGGTTAGCTGCATATTCAAAGAACACTGGTAACACAGTCTCTGCCGGCGCAACTTACATCTGAAGGATCAGCAGTGGGGATCGCATCGTCGCTCAAAGCACTCGAATAAGAAGCCTGTCGGATAGGCATTGTCACTGGGTGAGTCCCAGGCATTCCAGGTTTTTGCGACATATTTGGGGAGAGTCTATTCATAATTATTAGTTGTCTGTATAAATGAAGAAGTCAAGAATTCGCGTGTATGGGTGGTACGATAAAATTAATTGTCGCAATCGGAAGAGCACATACCAAGAGAAGCTCGGACAACTTGCGGGGAATCCTGGTCGCGTTTATATCGATGTCGGGCACCGTATTATTCGTATTAATATTGTGATATAGGAGAGAGAGAATCTTAGGATTTGTGATTGTTTAATGAATGATTCTTATCGTAAATGATTCAAAGAGAAGGAAGAGATTCACCTGCAATAAATGTCGAGTCTCCTCCACACATTCAGCGGGATGATGTCATCAAAGCGACCCCTTTATTTGGCGACAATCTGGAGTTGGCTCCAAAACACCGGATTCTTCTTAGCTTCAACCTGACAATCAAGACGTGTATGGCTTAAATCGCCAGAAAGAACGCCACGAAAGTCTAAGAAGATGAAATACTCCACCTACAGCAAGCACTTACCCAGCTAGTACGATCTCGGTACTCAGATCTTGGAATCGTGAGTGGCTATGCAGGACGATGAAGTGGTTGACCCTCGTTGGGCGCATAAAAAGAATATTGAGGGTTGGAGAACATGGTATGACTGGGTATTAAGCGTCATCTGGGACGCCTTCAGGGAGTTGATCCAGGATAATAACCTTTAAGCGAGCAAGGAGCATGTGTTGTGCATCTCATCTTGAAGACTTTGATCTGCAAAGTCTGTCACTCATGCATTCGATTTTATCAGAAAACGGGACAAGCCCAAAAGTACAAAAGAAGCAATGCACCATAATGCCCGAAGGCAGAGTGCATTTGGCTTAATTTGGCATTCAAGAACCTATTCTATCTACAGTGCCACAGCACTCGACTGGATTCTTTACAACCGGTGAGAAAATACGATTCATTTCCTTACATCAACATCCTTTCACCTCTGACATCTCACTGTCATTTGGTATAGCGAATACGCGAGTGTAGGCTAATACTGTGTCTACTCATTTAGGTAAACTTTATGTCTTATCATTTTCTCGTGCCGATTTATGATAAGGCTGACGGCTGCTAAACTTATTCTTCTACGACCGCACGCTAACTTGTGCGGCAAACTCCGATTTGACCAAAAACCTTAACCCTCTAAAACGAGTTGAATCACGAGTTTTAGTTTTAGTTGCTACTCGAGATCCTTAGATATTGATAAAAAGGACAGAAGGTCGAGTTCGAGCTCGACTCTTCGAGACTACCCCTCGAAAGCTTGGCTGGGCTTAGCACGACCCCACGACAATTTCGAGATCGCCCTTTCGAAGACCTCGCGATTTTGAGATAATTACCTTTCCAGGCATAAAATAAAGTGTATATACTTAATCAGCTTATACTAAAGTATATTGTTCTACAAGAAATTAAATATAGAACTTGTCGTCGTCGAGTCTTAAAAAGGGGATGGCCGTGAGAAAGCTCTCGAAGGTTTCGGTAAATCGGACTTTGGCGGACTACGAAGGCTGAAGGAAGGTACCGACTAGTTAGTGCGGCCGCCAATACTCTACGAGTCTAGCTTTCGTACTACTACCGGCAAGTTACAGACCGCATTTTCTATTGTGCGAAGAAGTGAGGAGAAAGGATTGGATGGAAACGAATCACGTAAGTTGATGTTAGAATACTTATAGACACGATCTCCCATCTATCCTTCATCCTCCTTTTCTTCTCATTTTTGACTACAGTATTGTCCCATCTCATCCCATTTCGGGCCTTATTCGAGACCTAAGATCTTACAATCCCTCGTTTCCTTTTGTTTGCCATCAACGCACCTCTCATCATGGCACGCCTACGCTGGAACGATCCATTCTGGAATGGCAAACGGAAACCCTTCATAATTGGGGTAATTTCATCATCTTTTCTCGTCATCATGCTGTTCTTCATCGTCACGTCTTATCTCTACGGTTCCATCTGGAGGGATACTTATCGAACGAGTCATTTGAATATTTTGGCCGTTGACTATGATGGGGGGGTCATAGGACAGTCCTTGTCAGCTGGGTACTCTGCACTGAAAGGCGAGAGATTTCCGACCTTACACTTCCGTTCTGCTGAGGAATTTGGCACTGTCGAGGATATCCGGAATGCGGTGTGTAGAGGAGATTACTGGGCGGCGATATTTGCGCAAGATGGTGCTTCCGATCGATTGTCAGCTGCTCTTGGAGGTGGAAATGCTGCTGCTGAATACAATTCGAGCAACACTTTGACATATGTTGTAAGTCGCACCGAACATACAGCAACTGCTATTGTCCATAGCTAACGAAATTGTTCAATAGTACAACGAAGCTCACTACCCGACTGTACAATTGGGCTACATTCTTTCGAACATGCAAACACTAATCGGAGCTGCCCAGACCATATATGGCTCACTCAACGGCACCGGAGCTGCCCAATCTCTGAACACCAACGACCAGAATGCCGTACTGGCCCTCCTCAATCCCATTTCGGCATCGTCAATAAACATAAAGCCGACACCGCAAGGAACCAAAGTTCTATACAACACCGTAACCCTCATCCTACCAATTATCCAGCAATTCTTTTTCCTCATGGCACTAAACGGCATCTCGAACTCATTCAACATATACGGGTATCTCTCCAGTATCCAAGTTGGTCTTATCCGGATGGTCGTTGCTATCACTTACACCTTCCTCGCCTCCTTGTCCCTGGTCGGATACATATGGGCATTCAAAGAGAACTGGGATGTATCAGGTGGTCAATTTATGCTCACTTGGATGGCGATGTGGTTATACATGCACGTCAATTTCGTGGTTCTCGACGCAGCAACAGCGTTTGTGCCTTTGGCGTATCTGACCTTTTTCGTTTTGCCCTGGGCCATCGCCAACATCACATCCACTCTCTTCCCCTTCGAGCTGAATCCCGGATTCTACAAACTCGGGTATGCACTCCCAGGGTATCAGATCGTGAGCATATTATTCCAGATCTGGTCGGGAGGTTGCAACAACCAGCTTTCGAGGTCTCTGCCTGTCCTGTTTGCGTGGGAAATTGTGGGTTTGTTCGCCGCTGTGTGGGGAGTAGCTCGCCGTAATAGAGCGGCTCGGGCAGAGGTTTTGAAGGGGGCAGAGGAGCAGCAACAACCTCGGTCTTCTTCAACTGGTTCAAATGAGATTCAGGAAAAGCCGAAGGACATTCAAGACAAGCCCGATCCGAACTTTGACGACCGGCGCCACGACGTGGAACGACGGCACACAGGACCTCCAGGATTGCCAATGCCGCTTCAGGGGATTTACACACAGGTGCAAGATTGAGGGGATTGGCGGGACTAGATTTCTTTAGATTAAACTTTCTTTATTACCTCTAGTATTGTGTTAATATATCTCTTAACTTAAGTCTTAGCCATCTTCTCATTTAATATAAAGCGTTTACTTGAGGTCTAATAATAATAATGTCTATCTACTATTACACTTTCTATTTCTCAATCTTTACTTAAGAAAAGATTAATAAATTAATTAATCAGAGGTCACATGTCATCATTTTGTTTGTCTTAAGATTTAATATTTTAGGTTTTCAAATCTGCATACGTATTAAAATCACCAGATCGCCTTACAGTTTCCGCAATAGCAGCTATGGGAATGAACCTACCCGAAAAATCACGCTATACATTCCCATAAATCGTACACCCCACCAAGCACCCTAACTCCCCCACCCCCACTTCCTTCCGCCTTCTGCCTTCCGCCTTCCGCCTTCTGCCTTCCGCCTTCCGCCTTCCGCCTTCCGCCTTCCTCCTTCCGCCTTCCGCCTTCCGCCACCCCCCACCCCATCCGCCCTCCACAAACTCCACTAACAAGAAAACATTCTCGACCACCCTCCCTACTCTCCCCCCCTATTTAAATGCTATACGGTGCGTAACGTGGCACTTGACAAACGAGTAGGATTTATCGGATCGAGGGAGAACTACGCACAGCTTATGTGGCAAATATGAAAATTCGGTGTAGGTTCCAGGTACTTGGACCGGTCAAATCACAAGTCCACCGTATAACATTTAATCAGAAGGGGGAACCCCATTACCCCCCAGAACTCAACCTCTAACATCCACTCTGTCTTGAGTCCGGAATCGGTCCTAGTCTTGTCTTCGGCTGGAGAATACCATCACATCGTAGGCGAGCACTCATCTCTTGCGTCCGAGGCGAATGGAATCAAAGGTAGGGAATGAAACTCGTAAGTCGGGTGTGCAATCTGGGGAACCAGTGAGTTTACAGTCGTGACACTCGCATTCGTTGTCTGAGTTGGTGTCGTTGTTGGAAAAGCTGGATATGTAATTGAAATGGGAGATTTTGCGCTTTTTTCTATGTGCGATTGGTTTGTGCCGATGATAGGGGTTCTCTACTTTTGCGGATTTTGGAGGAAGATAGACGAGATTGAAATGACCATGTCCAGTCTTCACAGCTGGGATGTGATTCGTCTATATACTCGGAGCTATGGTGATGCTCATTAATGAATACAGTGATTCCAATAAACACATGGATCTTGGTTGCCCAAACTCCACGGCATTAACTTGCTGTTCTGTAGGGAAACATATTCTTCGTGAAAGCCAGCTTCAGTTCAAAGGGTTCATTGATGCCATGATCATAAGGTTGATACTTCTTCGAAGAAGTGTGACGGCTGTCTGAATAGCGAGAATCCGATAATGTGTGGGCGACAAACGCAGCATGAAACTCCTCACTCATGTCATGCTTGAGATCCAAGAATCTGACACCATCTCCCGCTTTCCTACCCCATCCTGATCGTTCCGCAGCACGGTGCAACTCTTCGCCTCATTCACGGGATGTACAGGTAATATGTAGGACAGCATCACTCAGTATCTAGACTAAACGCATTGTTCTGAGATGGAAGCGAGACCCTCCATCTTGAAGCGGCGCCGGCAAATTCGAGGGGAAGATATCGGCTTTGGTCAAGACCGGAGTCAAAGAGACTTGGATCAGAGTTGCTTGTAGATGTCGCAATGGCCATGTGTGCATATGACGTGTAATGGGTCGATAGAACATATGAATCAAGAAGCACTTGATTGGATCTAGATCCACACTTGAGATCGACGCACTTTTCAGTGCCGGATTTCTCTACCGTCTCCACAGGTTTGTGGTTGCGAGACGTCCTGTTTGTCCGCAACGCGGAATCAGAATTGTGGACGACGACGGGCTTAGCCCAGCAGCATTCTGGCGCAGGTGGAAGCAATGGTTTAGTCCGAACTTTGCTGCTGAACAGTTAAAGCTTACAATGTACACCGGTAAACGGACCAGCGGTACATGCCAAACTGATGCTAACTTGCTTTAATCGCCGCATATAGTGTCTTGAGTAGTCGAGATCGAACCACCATTCGGGAATCTCGAGTTCACCTTTCTCGCCTAATTTCAGGGGCGGAAATGCCCACGGAGGAAATTGCCTTGGAAATATATGTTTTGTGAGCTTATATTCCTGACAATTAGCTTTCATGTATCTCCTCTCAAGCGAGTGAAGTCGTAATTCAAGTTTCTCACCTACAACTAGGCCCTCATGTAGCGAATTCCACAATACATTTTCGGAAAACTCAAAGTTAAGATGACTAGTCTCATGCAAACAAGCAGAGAAGTCGCCAAGCTTATACCAAAGTGCAGCCTGGGCCTCTTTGGCGCCTTCTAACGCGATTTTGAAGGTTTGCTTGGACAGGGCAGCCATTTCCTGTTGCATAAAGCTGTATAGCTCATGCTTGCTGGTACGATCACGGAGAAAATCGAGGACCTCATCGCTGTGCTCTAATTGACGTTGATGTATATTCACTTCTGTCAGAGAGACAAGTCTGCTTCGAGTTGCAGCAAGTTGCTGCCGTTTTATCTGCTCAATTTCAATCTCGGTCACATTGAGTTGATGCGGCCACTCTTGTTTTCGCCGTTGCCATTCTGCAAATGTCATCGCCAGACAGGCATTGTTGCCACTGATTTCTGCCGAGACATTGTGTATTCGAGCAGCTGCAGGAAAGAAGTAGACTCGCTTCGTACCAATTAGTATATGACTTAAAGCAGCTAGAAATACCACGTAGAAGTCGGGAATCATATTTAAGCCTTGGGTAATGCTTTCTTCGACATCTGACAGTAAGCGGTTAGCCATTGCTGCTTCCATATCTTGCTTATATGACTGTTCGAAAGGAATTACATCTGTTTTAATCAAGGTCGAGAAATATTCCGCTCCTGTCAGAGCCCCGGAGAGCGCTTGGCCGAGCCCTTGATATTGCTAATTAGCTGCACGAAAGTTACTTTGAGCCACTTCTGTGCCAAGATTAAGGATATGGTTTTCGTGCGAGGTACGGAGGGCAGATAGATATTCACTATCGCCCCTTTTGATTGCACTCAAGGGTGATGATCATGGTCCTCTCAAAATACCTGCCCATTCAAGTGCTTTTGGTAGAAGTGCGGTAAATCGGTATAGTTGAGAGCCAGTCATACAACGACGTAAGGCGTCACCGCAGAGCTCCTCTTGAGGCGAGACAAAACAGGAAGGGTTTTCGCCGCTCAGCCTAGAACCTGATACCCATGCCGCCAGATCTTGTTGGGTCTCCCTTGCGAAGTCAGGAGCTATTGAAAAATTCATGAACCAGCGCTTTGCGATCGGCTACTTCCTCGTAAAAGTAGAGGAATCTAGAGTTTAGAGGCGCTGGCATAGCTTTGGAGCTTTCTAATGTCAGGCCGCGAACGAGCACTGTGTTTTGTGCCTCGATAGATGTTGGTACTGGTTCCAGTAACTTCTTCACAGCATCGGCAAAAAGCTTTGCCTGTCGGAATGACTCCATGGAATTGCCCTGAATGAAATTTTCTGTCCAGGGGAGGAGAATACTGACATACTGTAGCATGCTGGCTCGAGCTCTAGATATACTGTCACTGAAAGGGGGTGTTGGGCAGCATGTAGTATTGGTGGTCTCCTTTTCATTTAGCGGGTTCTCGGTTAATTGCGAGATGGATTCAGGCGTCAATATATTCTCAACGCTCGACGACTCCGAATTAACAATGCGAGATTTCTCGCATGTTGCCTATGAATTATACCTGTTGAGTAGATCGGAGGCTTTTCTGGACCAAAGCAATGCCTCTGCGAACTTGCAATCTTCCCCGAGACGTCGCGCAATTTCCAACACAAGTGTACGAAAAGACAGAGGACTAAGAAGAGTTTCCTCTGCGAGGAGTACAGAAAGGAAGGAAAAGCAGAGAGAAATCAGTTTGGTGGGTGTGGTTTTGCGGGTGTATCCGGAACTACTTGCGAAGTGACTACTGCAGAATCTGTTGGCAAGTCATACATAAATCCAAGGGAACCTTTGCTAGCTGCTGTGAAGAACAATGAGTCCAAATTTCTGCCCCACAAGAATATAAGGCATTGACTCGAGTCCAAATGTCTGATACATTTGGTAACAATAAATCGAGAACCCGCCATTTTTACCTTGGCCACCATACCTCTAATTCACAAGTCACGGCCAAAGGGTCCTTTTTTCATCAATCAACTACACAATGTATATGGAATTTCCTTTCTGATCTTTCATTTTTCTAGATAGAGAGGGCTGATGTGTATTTGCGACTTTAACACACGACAGGCAGGTTCAATACAATCTAGACTTTGGGGTGCATTGTGACGATTCCACTTAACCGATGGAAATCAAGTATATTGTAGTGAGGAACGAGCGTCCATAACTGTAGATACACAAGAGACACTTGCGAAGCATTCTTGGGGTAAGAACCTTGTAATATAGGCGTGCAACAGTAAGGTGAATGGAGTATTGGTCGTTGTAGAGGAAGTATTGCGGTATTAGTAAGGTGCGACTCGGTAGAGATGTATAATTTATGGTGATGGATAGTATAGTGTTTTCTGGCTGAGCTTGGTGTGTAACATGAAAACTTGCACTTACTGGTTAGTTCCAGTTCTATTGATATTCTCTACTTGTGCTTCGATCTTACGAGATCAAGGAAATCCTAAGTCCTCTCCATTTTCGCAAGCGAGCCTTAACCAGATGGATGTTTCTGTTTGTTTAAAAGACGTATCCTACAAGGAGAATAAAGTTCAAATATCCCTATAACGAAGATGTTAGGTATTCAGTCTTCTACAGAATATTAATTGAGAAAACTAAATCGCATTCATTCACGTCGAGGTTTGTTTATTCTAATTCAGGGGTTAAACGAGGGATCCAACGCCATAGGCTAAAGCAAAGGGGTAAATCGCTAACGATAATAGGTGAGTTTCCCACACTTGAAAGCCACATATTAAGCGCTTGCGGGGTCACAAGATGCAGCATTGATTTAAGCTTGATGGGGTGCCGGCGGATAGGAGAAGAGAGATTCAGAGCTGGCTCTACGTCTAGGCTCGGCGATGTGAAAAGGGGTAGGCTTAATGGGCTATTCACGCTGGAAATCTAAATATGTTTGTACGGCGGAAAAGGGTGTTTATCGGAGGTATGTACGTGATACCAATGGAGTGCCCTGCATTGCAGCCGCTGTCAATGCTCGTCATCTGAGATAGTCAAAGCATAGAGCTGTTGATTGGGAAGGGATGAGAGCTCTGAAATGGTCCTGTGAAACTATATGGATATAGAAGGGTATATGCAGTAGTAACGTGAAAACATTTCGTATATTTGGATGCGAAACTTCATAAGAAAGACCTTTTAATGTTTAGATCTGCATATGGTGTTTGCTCGACCAAGCAAGTCACACCAATAGGAGTCAATAAAGCGGCGAGTGCCTTTATCTAGACGGGAAACCGCAGAGACGCAGTAAACACATCTAGGAAGAAAAATTGATTTCATTTCTTTTACAAGTGTATCTTCAAGGTAAAGATACTTTTTACCTACAATTTTGTTTGTTTTTCCTTTCACGATTCCTCAAATAGTTAGAAATATCAAGGTCACACGTCTATCTCAGAGTCCGAATCAGGTTGTATCCACCTTGCCGCTCTTAGCGCTAAACCCTGGTTTTTGCAGGTCTGTGGCAGCCGACACCTTCAACCTCCATCCAATCCATTCTTCTTTGAGAGACTCAAGGAGCATCGAATTCCACCTCCACCTCCACCATCCCACGATGACGATATTTGGGACTTTGTAACGCATTCACCGCAAACCCCTCCTCGCTCGGATTCCACGCCTCGATAACCTCATCATCACTTCCCAATGAACAGCATACCGTGCAAAGGTCGATTGAGCGCCCGGTGTTAGTTTGACCCCAGCAGCAAGGGGAACACATTCCTTGGACCGCTGCCCCGATGAAGGTACGTCGCCCTTCCACCACACTCCAAAAAGTCACGATAGCTTCGTGATTCGAATAAAGCTGCCGTGGAATTACGGCTAGGCCGTCTCTGGTCGGACCTATTGTCTGTCGTGCCGCCTCGCAGGTGTTGACTTTGACCGAGGCGGACGCACAGCAGGTTTCACGACCCTAGATATTAGACACTTTTAGCGCTGCCCGAACCCTCACCGATGCTAACATTTGTCTACAGACTTCTTCAAGACCGCGAGGTGAGGTTGGTGGAAGCTTTGCCAGTAGAAGGGGGCATGGTGCGCAACTCTCGATTAGTGACACCAACCACCACGTCACGGAAGCAATCGGAGACATGTACGGCGACGATGATTATACGAAATCCGACCGACCGCTGAGCTTTGCTCCATCGCCCCTGAACGAAGGTTTGACAGAAGGAAACGCGTATACAGATATGAAGGGGAGTCGGAATCGACCGTCGGCCAGTGTGAATGGAAACGCCAACCAGAAATCAAATACATCGCCAGGGCTGATGCAGAGCCCAAGAAGCAGCTCATTCGAGAAAGCAGGAGCTCTGTCGCCCTCCTTGTCATTGCGAGAACATCACTCAAATGAAGCTGCCAATGCACAATTCCCACTTAATGACCTGGACTACTCTTCGAACCCGGCGGCTGTCGCGCAGGAGCTCAGTAACTTGCAGGCTTTACGGCGCATGTCGATGGATGTTGGAAACACAAGCGATCCGGATCTGCCATCGTTTTCGGGAGTTTCGTTGATGCCATCAGTGGCGCCTACTGGTGATGATAACGAAGAAGATCCCTCGAGATTGTTCTGGGTACCCGCTCGGGTGCATCCAGAACTTGCGCCTATGGAATTCAAGACATTTTTGGAGAACCGAGTACAATCGATTAAGCGTCGGTCGGGCGACTCTTCGAATTCCTTATCCCCCGATGGAATGGAGAGAAGTGGGTCAGAGTCGTCTTTGAAGAGGAAGAAGTCGATGCTATCACGGCAGATAAATAATGAGGGCGGTCGAGGAGCGGTTGGATATCAAGATGGAGCGGAGCAGATAGAGAGGAAGAAGTCGTTGTCTTCGAACCAGTCATTGGACTTGAAAATCTCTGATTTGAAAGAATTGGATGCGTTAGTGCGGGATCCAACGAAAGCCATGCAGAAATTGAGTCTTGATACCAATAGATCTGGGAGCAGTGAGGAACTGGAAGACATGCCAATATTACCACAAGCACCTGGTCTTGGACTGAGGAGGTCCACAAGGACAACTTATAGGAGGGGGAGTGTAAAGAGAGTACCATTTTCCAAGAGGAACGGAGCTGGGCGTGCCGATACTGATGGAGAGGAGTCACCCGTTTCTTCTCCGATAGATGGACGTCCAGGTGTGGGATACCCTCTGTCGAAGGTGCAGTCTGAACCAACATCGGCAGAGAACTTTTCGCGACCAAATCGGGGTGGAAGACGTTTACAGAATTTGCCTCAAAGTAATCCTTCAGTATCAAGCCCGGAGCGAAAGTCGCAAGAAGACATGACAGAAGCAGGCAGAGGCGTTTATTCAGCGACTGACCCAGCACCCCCTACAGGGCCAATATCAAGGAGTAGCACATTTCCCAGGAACCAGCCAACGGTTCCTCAAATAGTAGAAACACCACCACCAGAAGAGACGAGAACTAAAAATCAGTTTCCAGAAAGGTCGTCTTCACAGAATGCCACACAGTCACTGCAAAAGAAGACTGTCCCAGAACCTCCAATGAAATCAAGCAGGCGGCCTACACTGGATAGACAGAATTCAACTCCACAGATAGCACCTAGAGTTGCGCCATCACAAACTCTTAGTGATATGACGCAGCAGCCTTCTCCGCTCCCTGGAAATACTGCCAGACTGGGAACAGATAGCCTAACGTTCATTCCCACACTGGAAGAGAAAAAGCCAGAGAAGAAATCCAAGAAAGAAAAGGAGAAGGAGGAGCAAGAGACGAGTCACCGTAAGACAAGTTGGGGTTGGTTTGATAAGAAGGACAAGAAGAAAGACGAGGATAATAAGAAAGGAAAAGCAAAGGCTTCTGTCGACAAATCTCATGATACTGCTCGTTTGGATGTTCTCCAGTCTACCATGGATGCTCCTCGGGGTCGGGAGAGCATATTAATTGAGCGTGAAAGCATGGATGGCAGGCTGGAAACGGAACGGAAGAAGGAAAGCAGTCGAAAATCGGGAGAACACAAGAAAGAGAAAGACGGCTTGTTCTCCTCCTTCTTCGGTGGTGGCAAGAAGAAGGGCGATCGAGATTCAGGGGGCAAGAAGAGTACCTCCTTACGGGCGCTTTCACCTGAACCTCCGTACCGACAGCTTAAACCGGATATTGATTACAACTGGACAAGATTTTCAATTCTGGAAGAGAGGGCCATCTATCGAATGGCCCACATTAAGTTGGCCAACCCAAGAAGAGCCTTGTACAGTCAGGTTCTGCTCAGTAATTTCATGTATTCATATCTAGCCAAGGTCCAGCAGATGCATCCGCAGATGGCAGTACCCCAATCGGCAGCACAGAAGAAACAGGAAGCAGAGCGACGCCAGAAAGAGCAGAAGCAGCAGGCTAAAGAGAACGGGGAAGAACAATACCGCTACGACTATCACCAGGTAAGTCTAAATCATCTCGTCAAAGTTCGGAGTTCGGACACTAATCAATACAGGGGATAACACAATATGCTGAACCAAGCCAGAATCAAAGTCAAAATCAAAACCATGAACCATCACGTGAGGGCGCAGAGTACGTCGACGACTCGCAGATATATGATTATGATCATCATGATGATGATTCGAACCGGCCGCAATCTCGAGCCTCGCAGCACAATTCCCACGCTGAAAACGGCTACGTCGATCAAAGTCAACAAAGTCGGCAAGGAAAAGATTACTATCCATATGGGAATTCCAACAACAATCGTGGGCAAGCTGATGATGATGATGATGACGATGATATGTGGTGATGTGAATTGGCGGTTGTAATGCCGCCGTGATTGCGGATTGTCCTTTTGCATTGTATGATGGAGTTATAGGCGCTTCCTGGATGGGAGCATGTGCAAAGGCTCGAGGGACGGGGTATCTCCAGGAGGATAATTATTGGAAGCATAGCGTCTGGTGGTCTTGCTTGTGTTTCTGCATTGTGTGGTCCCTAGACTGGGACTTTATAAATGCCATCTGCGATTGTCTGGAGAGCAAGCGCATGTTTATATGTAACATAGAATCTCTGGCTCTTGGGTGCTGGGAAAGCGAGGCAGCGGTCGTTGGAATGGATGATGAATCAGAACACAGAATACTGGATTTGGTGTTGATGATTGATAATGGAGATCAAACGATAGTCGAGAGCACAATGACTACTTGAGCGCAAATTCATGTTTGATTTTGCTAAAGAGTGTTGGTTTATCAGATGACAATGACAAGTACAGCCACTATTCAATTAGAAGCTTATATACAGCTTCTTTAACAATTCTCCAAGTCTCATACTCGTAATGTACAATCAATAGGCGGTACCTAATAGGGATGCCTTGGCGAGGAACGCGCAATGAAGGTGACGTCGCTCTAGACTTCAGGCGCCTGATTGTTGCCCGTTGAAGGAACATCCGCCACCCTTGATCCGGTTAGCGTGGTGGGAGCTATCGTATTGCGTACACGGGACAGCTTCATTCACTGCATCGTCAAATGTCTGAACATTCACGACTTTTTTAACTATCTCAACTCTCGTATCCTCACCTACGAAAACCCACACTGTTCTACAAATAATACACGCGCAAGAAGACCACCCACACAGCATACGCCGCAGCCAGTCGTCAACCCGAAGAACTGTCCTCGAGAGCTCACATAACCTCCACCTCCCCGCAGTGGGATCATATCTCTGGCTAGAAGCCAAAAGCCGCAAAAATGTTTCGCGCACAGCAGAATGCGTTTGATGATCTCGTCGGTAAGTCTCTACATGGTTATAGGAAGTCAGGAGTCTTGTGCACCAACTACGAGGCTACCTGTGATGCGAATGCTGACATATTTTCCTCGCAGCCAAGGCGACGGACGAGAACCTGACGGCCGAGAACTGGGAATATATCATGGATGTCTGCGACAAAGCTAGTACAGAAGAGAATGGTGCTAAAGATGTTGTGGCCTCCATGATAAAGCGGCTGGCGCATCGGAATGCGAACGTTCAGTTATATACTTTAGAGGTATGGTCGTAAGGCTACGAAGGCGAATGCGCTACTGACGATTCCACAGCTTGCAAACGCCCTCGGTCAAAATTGTGGGCCAAAGATACACCGAGAACTTGCTTCGCGAGCCTTCACAGATGCCTTATTACGACTGGCAAACGATCGAAATACCCATCAGCAAGTCAAGGCGAAAATATTGGAGCGTATGGCAGAATGGGCTGAGATGTTCAAGGACCCGGATCTCGGGATAATGAGAGATCAATACCAAAGATTAAAGAGTCAAAACCCAAACCTGCATCCTCCATCTGCTCCATCGAAGAGCAGACTTACAGATGTAGATAGGCAGAAGGAGGAAGAGGAGTTGCAGATGGCGTTAAAATTGTCGATTCAGGACAAGACAACCCCCAAAGCTTCGCCTCAACCAACTACTGGGGGACCTTCTCAAGCGCAGGAGCCACTCCAATCAAGTACGGCACCTTCAGGTACCACAGCTGCAACGGTCAATCGTGTACGAGCGCTGTTCGATTTCCAGGCTTCTGATCCGGATGAATTGACCTTTAAGAAAGGTGACATTATTGCGGTTCTCGAATCTGTATATAAGGATTGGTGGAAGGGTTTATTGAGAGGCCAGACTGGCATCTTCCCATTGAATTATGTGGAGAAATTGGCGGATCCAACCATTGAGGACTTGCAAAGGGATGCTCAAACTGAGGCTGAGGTGTTTGGGGAAGCTAAAAATGTGGAAAAGCTGTTGGCGCTATTGAGTTCGAGCTCTGATATTCAAGATAATGATGAACTTACGGTATGTTTGCTGAGGTGTGTACTTTGGACTTGCTGACAAGGGCAGAAACTATACCAGTCTACGACGGCTATTCATCCAAAATGTATTGAGCTGATTGGGAAATATTCCCAGAAAAAAGGTAGCATAACTTATCCCATCTTGAATATTTAGCTGATTCTCCCAGATGAAATGACGCAACTGAACGAAAGGTTTATCAAGTCAAGAAGGTTGTTCGAAAATATGTTGGAGGCCTCTATGACACAACCCCAACAAAGTTATCAATATGGACGTCAACCACAGCCATACGGAGGTGGCTATCCACCACAAGCCGCACCACCTCAGCAAGATCCTCAGAGATATTACACTCCAAATCCTCAAGGTGAGCATCCAATAAAGTGGTGATGTTTCTGTACTAATAAAGACTAGATCAAGGTTACCCTCCCCAACCAGGATCGCCGCACAACTACCCACCACAGCCGCAACCATTTCATTTTGTTGGCGGGCAAAACCATCCTTCTGAGCCACCGCAAGGCCACCAACCATATCCACAACAAGCTCCAACTCCAAGGATTCCCTCTGGCGGGCAACCTGCACCAATTCATACCTCGTCGCCTCCACCTCAACAATACCCGCCACAACAAGCCCAGAGTGGACATCGACCACAAAGCACGTACTCAAATCCACAAGAACTTGCCACATCGGTCTATGATTCACCTGTAAACCAACATCCAAACGCGCCATACAGTGCATCGGTGTATTCGCAGCAGTCGGAAGATCCATACTCTGCAAACCCAAACGCACAACAACCTCCTAGTCAGCAACACTACAACGCGTATCCTGGAGTGCCACCACAGTCCCAAGCACCACCCCAACAAGGGCCACCTCCCATTCCAACCGGTCAAGCACCACCAATTCCAACAGGTACACCCGGGTACCCCAATATCGCTTCTCCCTATGATGCAAGACAGACGCTTCCAAGTCAAGGAGCCCCATCTTATAAACCATATCAACGACCCGCGAGCCCTGACTCTGCTATTCCTGCGCCTTTAGCGCCAAGTGCTCCACCTGGTGGACCGGCGGACTTTTATAGATAGGCATGGCGGTAGGGGATTGTATGGAACGTGGAGAAGGTGTATGATGCGATGGACATGCGAGACTGGGGAGGTGATGAAGAATTATAGTAGGGTGTATATCTTGGACGGGGTGCATTAATTGAAGATTAATGGAGGTAGCTGAATTGAAATGGCATTTGATATCTCATCGATTAAATTTGCATTTCAGTCACGTGATAGCACGCCCGTTTAAGCTTGAAGTTTAAACGTCCCGAAGGGGTGGGCCGAGGCGCCCGAGTTACCGGGGAAGCTGTAGCTTTCCCCGCATTATGAATCGACAAGGGACGAACAGACCTCAATGATTATCACATCTAAACATTTAAACTTCCACAAACTTTGCAACATTTTAAAAGCTGTTTACTTTACTGTCATTAAGCCAAAAATCTGACTTGCTAATTGAACAGCTCAGTTGGAGAAGAAAATCATTCTCTCGGCCAATATTCCTTTGTATAGCACTCGGTTCCCCCACTTCCTCACAAAATGGCTGCGGTGAGAGTAGCCCCAACAGTAAGTCCAACTCAAACCCAAGTATATACGGTAACTGACATACTCCAGCGGGCAATGCGAGCCATGAATCTTCTCCGCACAGTACAATACACACATCCTCCATCCTGTCCTTGCCACGGCAATCCCAGCTACCACCAGCAAGGTCCATCCTCATCCCTCGTCGCGCATACCAAGGCGAACCTCCAACGCTCTTATGCCACTCCCGTAGATATGTCTCGTCAGAAGGAATATGCCTTTGAAATGGCAGCTAGTTCAATCCGGTTCGGAGCTGGTGTTACGAAGGAGGTAGGCATGGATTTTAAGAATCTGGGTTCAAAGAGGGTTTGTGTGGTTACGGACAAGACGGTTAGGGGGTTGGATGCTATGAGACAGGTTGAAGAGGGGCTGAATAGAGAGGGTATTGAGTATACGGTTTATGATGGGTGTAGGGTTGAGCCGAAGGATAGTTCGTAAGTGTCTCTCCCTAATATGCTACCCAACAACTCTACCCTTATTGTTTCTTGCAGTTGTATCTAGTAACTTGTACTAACACCCCCAGAATCAAGGAAGCAATAGAATTTGCAAAACCCTACGCCCCAGACGCCTTCCTAGCCGTAGGAGGTGGCTCCGTCATTGACACCGCAAAACTAATGAATCTCTACACCTGCTATCCTAATGCCTCCTTCCTCGACTTCGTCAACGCACCCCTAGGTAAAGGCCTTCCCATAGAGAAACCTCTCCTCCCCCTCATCGCCGTCCCCACCACCGCCGGCACCGGCTCCGAAACAACCGGCACCGCAATTTTCGACCTCGTCGCCTCCCGATCCAAAACCGGCATCGCCCACCGCAACCTCAAACCCACCCTCGGCATCTGCGATCCCCTCAACACACGCACCATGCCGTCCGCCGTACACGCCAGCTCCGGTCTCGACGTGCTCTGCCACAGTCTCGAAAGCTGGACCGCGATCCCGTATTACGAGCGTACGCCGCGCCCGAGCAACCCAATTAATCGCCCCGCGTACCAGGGCGCGAATCCGATCTCGGATATCTTCAGTTTGCAGGCGCTGAGGAGCACCGTTAAGTATTTGCCGCGGGCGGTGAAGGATCCCGAGGATCATGAGGCGCAGAGTCAGATGTTGCTTGCTGCTACTTTGGCGGGGGTGGGGTTTGGGAATGCGGGGGTGCATTTGTGTCATGGTATATATTCCTCTTTTTCTCAGCTCTTTCTTTTCTGTTTTATTTTTGTTCTGAGTTTGCATCTGATACCTGTTTTTTTTTCTTTTGAAATTCGAATGGACGGCCGAGACAACTTTCTCTTGTCCTTGGGAAACGAGAATGAAGAGATTGATACTCGTTCAATTTCCTCTTAAAAGTAGGATGGAAGAACGACAACCCATTTCCTGTCTCTTCCACATTGGAATTGAAAACAGAAACCCATTTCTTTTTCTTCTGAATTTCTTTTGTGGCATTTGGAATCCCAGTCATGATGTTAATCACCCTTACTAACAATATGTTTAGGAATGTCCTACCCAATTTCCTCCCAAAACCCCTCCGCCTACACCCACCCTGGCTACACCGTCCCTCACACCATCATCCCCCACGGCGTCTCCGTCGCCGTCACCGCTCCCTCCGTCTTTCGCTTCACCGGTGCCTCCAACCCCGCCCGCCATCTCGAAGCCGCCGCCGCATTCGGCGTCGACACTTCCCAGGTCCCGCTTGAATCAGCCGGTGAGGTGCTTGGCGAGGCGCTGCAGAAGTTCCTCCAGGATCTTGGTGATCAGCCGAGGGGGTTGAAGGATTTGGGGTTTAAAGAAAGTGATGTGGAAGCACTTGTTGAGGGGACGATCCCGCAGAGGAGGGTTTTGATGCTGGCGCCGGGGTTGAGTGAGGAGGTGGGGGAGGAGAGGGAGGTTTTGAGGGGGTTGTTTGTGGATAGTATGTAGGAAACGAAGAGGGGAGCGTGAAGGAGATTAGATGATCTAGTTTGAAAAAAAATAAATACATTAGTATATGTGAGGCGATTGCGCAAGGTATCTTTTTATTTGAGGTATTTTTTGTTATGGGCGGAATGTGAAATTGAAGGATTGTAAGGAGGGTTTGTTAGATACGAGATCGTTTACAGATGACGAATTGAGATATACAATTTGTTGTGGCTAGTGTTTAGGCGTTGAACAGGATGGTTCATGAGATGGACATCGAGAACAAGGGAAGGAGAGATGGGAATCGGGGTCGAGAGCGAGAACAAGAAGTCCTGCAAAGTGTGAGTCTGGTGGATGACTCTTAGCGGGGAAATGTCTCGCTTGTGGGTCGTGATTCGTGAAGAACCTTGGGTCGTACAAGAACGGCTGGTTTGGATGGGGGTAGTGGATTGGGGTTTGTGAGAGACAGAGGTAGAAGTAGAGATAGAGATATAGGCAGAAATAAAGGGCTAACTACCGTGATCAAGTTCCTAGCCAGTTGGAGTATATATATGTCACTTTTTGGTACTACTACTGTGTTGGTCGCACGAGTAACGGCGGCTAACGGTCGTACGATAACGGCTGGTACGAGGCTATTTCCTAGTCTTAAGGTCGAAACAATAGAAATTAAGGTTAAAGTATAGAGTTATAATATTGTCATACTAAGCGTCTTACACCCGGTTTGCCTTACTACTTGCCTTGATACATACATAAGCACATCTTGATCGAGTAACCGGCCATCGATTCAGTCACCGGCCAATTCACCGTGCGATCACGGCGTGATTGGTGGCAAGACGTAAGGCTGTCTGGATACGAGAATCGGGATTGGACTCTGTGAGCTGCTCTGAGCCGTATTGGGTGTCCAATTGAGGGTGCATTCTGGCAGGGATTGGGGGTGGAGAGGGTGTTGCGATACAGGGCAGGGAGAAGGTAGAGGGCGGTTGGATTGGAGAAGAGAGGCGGTCTCTCAGGGTGCCGTGAAAGTTGCACTTTTCGTGTCAAGGGCCACTAACCACAAAAGTACCGAAAAAACACACCCAAATGGCGACTTTTGTAGTCTTTTAACAATGTGAGTAATCTAATACCTAGTAGATTGATTTCTAAGTCTCTAATTAAGTAATTAAAGTTTTGTAAGTAATTATTTATTAGAAATGGAGCTTTACAATACTAATTTGGTGAGGGTGGCCCGTGACACGAAAAGTGCAACTTTCACGGCACCCTGAGAGGGCGGTGGTGTGGCAGACTCCAGCTTGCAGGTGAACGAGAAGCGAGATGCGAAAGGAGAAGCGAGCATGTGCCAGATGCCTTGAGGCAATCGAGTCTTGGCGTCAAGCAGCGAGATAGGAGAGCTTATCTGGACATCGCGGATGACTCAGCAATGCCGGCCGTCGTATTGCATTGCATCAACAAAGCTCCATTGCGAATGAATACGTGCTAGCCATCCACATTTCCTCATCAATTCATTAGCTGGTGCGTCTGGATAGTCATCTCGACTTCAACCACCATTGCTTTGCTCTTCCCTTCATCAACACCATCATTGTACTCATTCCTCCCTCTCTAAGCGCTTCGATCACGAGGCTCCCCGGATCCCAGTGGAGCATGACTCTGATGATCAGTATCTAAGCTCGACCGCCATCACACCAAATCGCCAGAGAACAATCATCCTCGATTTCGTCTTGCAGATATACTCGATCAAATCCTCTGCGATTCTGACCAAACACACCTCACCGAGATCCCATTCCTGCACCATGTGTGTTGCCTGAGCCTGAGCGAGCTTCCCTTGTAGGCCCCAGCTCTCCCGTTGCCTACCCTTCCAGGTTCGCCTCCCCTGGAAACACCCACAGGCTGCATAGCATCGAGAAGAAAACTCTTCAAAGTTTGCCAAATTTGCCTGGTGAAATACCCTCTCGATCGAACCCGCAGATACATGACGATGGATGCCCAAATCATGAGGTATCCCGGCCCTACACACTACGAAATCTAGCCATACGACCAGCTGCCGTGAATGTGCGAATAGTGACGAATCAAGCACGTCGAGTCGATTAGCACAACGACAGCCCGAGAACAGTTTGCAAGACTACCCCATTCGAAATGCATCAGCATCCACGGCCGTCCCCAGTGACGGCATCGCCAGCGTCTTCTCCGCGAACGAATCCATCTAGAACGAACAATCAGAGAGATGAAGGCTTGAATAGTCCGAGTATGCGAACCACACCAGATATGCCGGGGAATAGCGGAGAGGAGGAGGGAAGTGGTGATAGCGGTGTGATACCGACTGCTGGGTCCTCGAAAGATGATGTCAAGAGACTGGACCAGGTGATACAGGTAGGAATTAAAATATGTTTAATGGACAAGTGCTAATTTGGTATAGAATTTCCATACAAAAGCTGCCATTGTTATATTGTCCTCGAGGATGTCACTACCCGTATTGTCAAATAAGGACGGGACTCGGAAAGTCAATAAATGGGTATGTATATCATCATCCTGTATGTGAAATACTAATTCGCATAGTTTCAAATCGAAACCGACGACACGAGTGCCTTTCGCGAAGAATTAAGTGTTTGGAGGACGTGTGGTGGAATACAAAATCGACCGCCTCCAATGGTCATTGAAACATACCTCGACACTTCGTCATTGACCAGCAGTCATAGTTTGGTCATTGTGGACGATCATGGAAAAAGATGGGACGTACTAGAGGCACTGAACAATTCAGATGGAGGCCCACGCGGCGCAAGACATCGAAGTACAGAGGTGATATTAGAAAGGTGGAAAATAGAGCTCAAAGATGGAGAGCGAATACACGACTTTGCTCCAACCCTGCCAACAGTGTATAAGAAGTGCATCGTCTTCTTCCGCGCGTTGTACTCGACATCGAAATTTACACCGGCGTGGAAATTTTTGAAGAGCATGTCGAAAAGTGGATCCATGAAGGGTTTATTGCATGTCAAATGCCGTATATATTCTGGACATGTCCAGCCCGGTCGATTTGATGCGCTTACTCATCCATTGTACGAGAGTAGCGGGCCTGTAACGACAAATTATCCCCTTGGGACCACAGATACACCTGTGGGACAATTTTCGGCCGAGGTTACCTATCGAAATGATTGTAACTTTCGCGTGGATGATTCGGAATCATTACTCAGTTCTAGATTCATGGGTGTGGATGAGCAATATTTTCAACCGTCACTGAGGGATAAGGATTCACGGTATCATTCGAGGGGTGGTGAGGTCGGCTCTTTACCTGCAAATAGACAGCCAAGTCAGGAGCAGGAACCTATACAAGCTTATGGAAGTTTGTCAACGTTTCACGGCGACGCCCCACCTAGAGGATCGAGTCCTATCTCAGCCCTTCGTGCGCAGAAAGTTGATGGTTCGGATACCAGTTCACCCCCGACGAATTCGCTTCCAAAATCTAGACCGATCCAAACTTCACGCGCTTCCTTGATGTCATTAGAGGGAATTTCAATGGCAAGGAGGCCGTCTGTTTCGTTTCAGCCTTTCAAAGCTGGTTCGTTATCATCATCACCCGGTAGAGCTTCACTCCCACATGGAGATATGCCGCCGCAATCGCCACAATCATTACCGCGAGGAGGTATCAGTGCACTTACACAAGCACGAAATCGATCATCATTAACAGCTGGAATGCCTGCATCATTAAGAGGTGGCCCCGTCGTGTCGGATAATGTGGTTACATCTTCAGCCTCAAGTTCGCCAAAACCTGCTCCAATAAGCAGGTACAGTAGCAGTTTTACCCATCGGAGAGGAAGATCTTCGTACGGAGGGACGAGTAAGATTGCTGATGATGATCAAGGTAGTAGTGGAAAACAAAGCTTGTCTTCATCTGTACAACCTGGATCGGGAATTCTTGCGGAAGGTGCTGGTGGTAGTTCGGGATCATTACAAACGGATGATGATAATATATCCGACTTTCTTAAATTGCTGGATAGCAAAAAGACGTTGCAAAGTTTTGAGCCTTCAGGATCTTTAGCAGCGAAACGAACAAGTGCTCAATTATCGAAATATCAATCGATGCGAGGGTCGAATAATGTATTGACAGAGTCGTTGTACTCTTCTACAATGTTACACAGATCTTCGACTTCATCAAGTCGGCAATTATCGAGTGTACCACCAATGGTAGCGGCGACCTCGGTTTCTACTTCGTCCTCTCCCGGGAAACCGGTATCACCTCATACGCCACATACACCTGCGATACCATCACGATTAAGTGCGAATTCAATAGCGGAATATTCTGAGCCTCGAAGGAGAATTAGTAATCATACAAGATCTACGCCACAGGTGTTGGACGACGTGACGGATGATGATCAAGCTAACCAACTTGGTACAAATGCTATCGATATTCCCACGTCGCCTCGTCCATACTACCAGCATACCCGAAGATCGAGTTCTGTAGCTCAGCAGCAGAGGACTATGCCTGTGGATGATGATCTAGGTGATTTACCATTTGGAGCTCATCGTTCGATAAGTTTGGGCGCAGACGACCGTGAACCACCAAGTCTAAGCGCTCTACTTGGACTTCAAACGTCGGAAACAGTCGCTTCTCCATCCTCGCCATCACCACCTCGACTTCTTCAACCCGCACCCCATATCTCAGAAGCAACAGCAATGTCCCGTCAACCCTCCTCCTCACTAGACCCGAATGAATCAGACGTCCCAACCGCCCCACGCGGCTTCGCTGGTTCATCAAACTCTCCATATCGCCCACGAATCGGCCGATCTGGCGGTCGAGGCGTGACTCCACCGCAAACAGGCTCCTATTCGAGTCTCAATGCGAGTGGAAGCGGTGCGAGCGAGCGCGGGAGCGGCAGACAGAGTTTTACAAGGGGCGCTGGGGCGTTTGAACTCGATGACGAACCGCTGCTTTTTGATATGAGCGAGATTGGGCGGGATGCATCGAGACGGAGTATTGAGGATCCGAGGGGGGGAGGCGGTGGAAATTTGAATGAGAGGGGAGGGTATGATGGACG